CATATGACACATGCTGGAGTAGCCTACAAATATTAAATTAACAGAAACACATTAAAACAAAAAATTCAAATTGCGCCATCGGAGCCGCAGGTTGCCAATCGGTTCCTGGTTGCACAGGTTTAGTAACTGGTGAGGGGTGGGAAGGCTGTACCGACAAAGAATAACAACATAACTAAAGCAAGTTGTTGTTTTATGGGGGTGGGGGGGAGGGGGTCAGCTTAAGGCAGGACACACTGTGGAGTTGACCAGGGCCTCTCACTTCTCTTGGCATCATGCTGCCCATATATTTGATGCATATTGAACGACCTTTAGGCAATATAATTAGCTTTAAGGGTGCAGAATGAAAAAAAAAAACTAAATTAATTAAGCCCAGGCCCTCCAATGTTGTTAAGACAGTCCTGGAACCATTAGGGGGCCTGGGTGCTTTGCTGTGCCCAGGCCCTACAATGTTGTTAAGACAGTCCTGGAACCATTAGGGGGCCTGGGTGCTTTGCTGTGCCCAGGCCCTCCAATGTTGTTAAGACAGTCCTGGAACCATTAGGGGGCCTGGGTGCTTTGCTGTGCCCAGGACCTCCAATGTTGTTAAGGAAGTCTTGGGACCATTAGGGGCCCCCGGTGCTTTGCTGTGCCCAGGACCTCCAATGTTGTTAAGGCAGTCTTGGGACCATTAGGGAGGCCCGGTGCTTTACTGTGCCCAGGACCTCCAATGTTGTTAAGGCAGTCTTGGGACCATTAGGGGCCCCCAGTGCTTTGCTGTGCCCAGGCCCTCCAATGTTAGGTGCTTTGCTGTGCCCAGGACCTCCAGTGTTGTTAAGGCAGTCTTGGGACCATTAGGGGGGCCCGGTGCTTTGCTGTGCCCAGGCCCTCCAATGTTGTTAAGGCAGTCTTGGGACCATTAGGGGCCCCCAGTGCTTTGCTGTGCCCAGGCCCTCCAATGTTGTTAAGACAATCCTAGAACCTTTAGGGGCCCCTGGTGCTTTGCTGTGCCCAGGCCCTCCAATGTTGTTAAGGCAGTCCTGGGACTATTAGGGGCCCCCGGTGCTTTGCTGTGCCCAGGCCCTCCAATGTTGTTAAGGCAGTCTTGGGACCATTAGGGGGCCCGGTGCTTTGCTGTGCCCAGGACCTCCAATGTTGTTAAGGCAGTCTTGGGATCATTAAGGGCCCCCGGTGCTTTGCTGTGCCCAGGACCTCCAATGTTGTTAAGGCAGTCTTGGGACCATTAGGGGCCCCCGGTGCTTTGCTGTGCCAGGCCCTCCAATGTTGTTAAGACAGTCCTGGAACCATTAGGGGACCCCGGCTCCTTCCCGTTACCCCGGCCTTCCAATGTTGTGAAGGCTGTCCTGGCTAAAAGGCTTTGCATGAGTGTCACCAGTGGCGTGGGGAAAGCTGGGAGCATGAGGAGGTCCGGCAAGGGGCATGGGGGAGCTTTTATTTGTATGTGGAGTGAGGGGGGGGGGTGGCGACATTTTCGGCCAACTTCTGATTTTTGAATACATCTCAACAAATTATTTATTATATCTTTCCTCTCTCGTCTACCTGTTCCAATTTCGTTTTGTTAATTTCTTAAATTGCCATTTAATAACAGGCGAGCCCTATATAAGTATATGTATATTAATGTATATATACACATATCTGCATTTAACTAGCCAGGAGAGTTACAAATAAATGAATTCAGTGAGCAGCAAAATAGAATTTGATTAAATCTTATATCAGAGAATTTAATTGTCCCATTCAAGCCTAGATGTTAATTAATGTGTAAAATCAGAAATGATGATATTTGGAAATACAATGTGAGGAAAATGCAGAGGTTGTCAATACTGGTATCTTCAATTTTGTACAGCAGCCCTGCTCCTGCTCGACTGTATAAAAACAATGAGTGACTGGCCACTATGTTAAGTTATAAAACAATGAGTGGCTGACCTCTGTGTAAAGTTAACTGATTGCTTCCTCATAACAGATTACAGATGATGATTGAGTACTTTTACAGCGCTTGTGTCCATGCTATTTTAGAATGTTCACGGTACTCTGATGTCCTAAAATATATTTAAAGAAAAAAGTCTTCAAATGATTCTTACATGAGATTTTTTATCATCTTCAATTTCCCTCAAAGATTGAGCATTAGCTTCATAAGAGTGCACCCCGTATGCTTCATCCTAACAAACAGATGATGCTTCATCGTAACAAACAGATTACAGATAATTACTTCATCATAACAAACAGATAATAGATGACTGCTTCATCATAACAAACAGATTACAGATGATTGCTTCATTATAACACATTACAGATGATTGCTTCAGTTAAAAAATTAACAAGGCTGAGTTGGAGTCAGTTTACTGTAGAATTCAAACTTTATTCCATATATTTCCATTCTCTGAATATTAAAAGCTCTGACAAAGATGTTGAAATGTGTGAACACATAGATTTATCATGTAAGTTACAAACTAAGATCCCTGATTACGATACATGAACATCAATTGTGCAAAGAAAGTGTTTCAAATAATGGTAACAACATCCATGATGATGCACTGTACATTTTGGTGAGGCAGTAATATCATAAAAAATAATTCACAATGTAAGTAATATAACAACTTTTTTTATATATATTTTATTACATATTTCAGACACACCTACACTATTAATAGTAATAGGCACTCTAATATTAATAATTGTCTTCACATATTTCAGCCACGCCAATACAATTGATACTGTAATATATTTCAGGCATTCCTATATTATCTATCAATTGTCTTAATTAACATATTACAGACATTCCATTACTATCAATTTGGTAATACATTACAGGCACTAAAACACTATCAATACTGTAATATATTACAGGCACTACAATAATGTCAATACTGTAATATATTACAGGCACTAAAATACTATCAATACTGTAATATATTACAGGCACTACAATACTGTCAATACTTATTACAGGCACTACAATACTGTTAATACTGTAATATATTGCAGGCATCCTTATATTATTAATCAATTATCTTCACATAATACAGACATTCCATTACTATCAAAACTGTAATATATTGCAGGCATTCCTATTAATGTATTGGTGTTTACCATGTAAGTCAAACTTGAAAAATGAAAAAAAAAAAAAATTATAACGCAGAGCATACATGATGCACTGTTTTTAGGGGGTACTATGCCTGCAAAATGTAACATCATTCATCGTAGGTTAAATATAATCCATCTCAAATAATAATATTTTCCTTTGTCATCAGCTACTTCTCAATGACACATTTATCTTTACATTTGTATGTTGTCTTAAAGCATTGTAGTTAAGTATTTTAAAAATAGTTTCTGAAATGTTGGAAGCCATTGTGATAACTAAACAAAAACATTTGAAGTCAAAGAACCAATGAAATTGTGAAGTCAATGAATTTATGAAGTCAATGAATCAATGAATTTATGAAGTCAATGAACCAATGAATTCATGAAGTGTATTGTTATAGTGTTGAGCAGTGCAAGAGAGTATTAAAACACAACAATTACTTGCTTTGTTAACTTTGAAAAGCCCGCCTTTAAAGCTCCACAGAGCACAGGATGGGAACCACTTTGTGTAGATGATAATGATAACAGAATGTCTAGCCATGCTACAACTTGATGTGGTCGCCATTTGTAAATATCCTTCACTGAGTGATGTACTCCACCACTTATGCATGTTTGTTTAGGAATGCTTCTATTTCACCTTACACAAAGGTATTATAAAAGTTAGGAAAATTACTATTTTTTTGTTTAAGAGACAGAAGAAAAATCCATTTAAAGCAAAAGAGTAATATTTTTCAAATGTTAATTAGAAGAGTTTGCAAAGAAATGAGTTGTTTCTTTGTTAAATATTTTTAACGGCATGATGATAAATGCATTGGTTAAACTAACATACATTTAATTATGAAACATATATATTTTTTTTTACCATTAACATAAGCAAACAATTAAAAAAAAAAAGAAATAAATAAATTTAAAAAAAAGCAATGTATCATCAAGTACATTTTGGCTTGTGAGATCTGTTCAGTCTCACTACCAAATTGTAAATTGAGTTTTGTTATAAATTTTCTGAAGAAATTATTTAATTAATTCTTTTTTTTAAATCCTCTTAATTATTTCCCATTGAGATCAGGAGTTAAGTATGAAAGTGATGCAATGAAAAAGGGGGGTCAACATTTTATCAATGTACTTTATTGAACTACAATTCAACTGTATGATATAGTCATATTGTTGGGCTGTATCACATCCAATGTGAAGAATAAAATGCTAAATGTTAACACAAATGCCAAATTTTAACACAATCGGCCACTGGGCAGCTGTTGAATCCACAAAAAGATTTTCTTATCAACAATAATTTTTTAAAAGCATGACATTTGCACGGTTACATTTAGAGTTACCAGGTAAATTTATATTTTTAGACTAAGTTTTTTTTAATTGCTAACAAAGTGAGCTCTTTTTGCTAATTTCATAAAATAAATACTAAACAAATTAACACAAATATCCAATTTTTTCATGAAAAAAAGCACCAAAAAAAAAACCTGGCAACCCTAGAGTTTCCTACCATCAGTTACTACATAACAATACTGGATTGACAGCAACCTAGCAAAAAAAAAAAAACTGAGCTTTTTACTTTACAATTACAATTTTTTTTTTTTCTACAAATCTGAACTTATGTATAAGTTTAAAAAACAGCAGTTTCACTATCATCCCATGTGTATATCTACAACTAATTGGTCTCAAAATAATATTACTCTAACATTAGAAAGCCGACGGTAAAATATGGACGTCAATAAAACCTTGCCTGACTGTCTAACATCACCAGTCGCAAGTTTGACCTCACAGATTCTTGAACAAAGCTAATATAATCATTGCAATAAAATGAATTGCAAATGGAGATTTATTTTATTTCATTTTCAACACACATAAATAAAATACATACATTAAATTGGAACGATCACCACCCCACTTACCCCCCACCCATTATGTTTCCACCCACCAGCACTCACAACTACCAATTCCAGACAATTTTCCCATCAGTCCCCAGTTGAATCCTCTCACTGGCCAGCAGCTCCAGAGCCTTTGGGTAGGCGATGTGCTCCACTGTCTTGATGCGCTCAGCAAGTGTGGCCTCGGTATCGCCTGGGTAGACAGGGACACTCTCCTGTGCTATGAGGGCACCTCCATCAACCTCTTCCTGAACAACAAAAAACACAACATTTTAGGCAAAAAAAATAATAGATTAAAAGAATTAGTTTCATAACCAGTTCTTGTTCTACTTGCAGGAAATAAGCAACAACAACAACCCCCACCCCCCCCCCCCCCCCCCCCCCCCCCACCATTTTGATCAGAATAAAATTAATTAGTTTTAAGACAAAATAGTTCTTAAAAAAAGTTCAAATTATTATTAAGTACTTGCCATAAAACAGATTGTGTACAAACATGAATAATTTAAAGCAGGCCACTGAACAAATTTAGGCCCGCCAGCAACCTATTTTTTGGTGCTCAGCTGGGGGGGTATGGGTTCACTGCTTCAAAGAAATGTATGTGGCTGAAGACATGACTGAGAGTAATCGAAACCTGACAAAAAGGATAACTTAATGAAGCCAAATGTGTCACATGACAATAGGGATGACTCACAGAGACAAAATGTATACTACATCCTGATATCCGTACACCAGCCTCGATGGCCAGTTTCTGAGCGTGAGCCCCTTTAAAGGAAGGCAGCAGAGATGGGTGGATGTTCAACATGCGTCCTGTCCACTTGTCAACAAACTCTCCTGGAGAAAAGAACACAAAAATTGTTAAAAACAAAACTTTGTGAATAGCCGAAACTTTGACCCAAAACAAAAACATCATGCAGTATTTTCTTATCTTTAGCAATAGGCTGAATTGTGAGTCTGACCAGGCCATGTCTCCACTGTTCTGATTAAAGTATACTCTCCATTACATAAGGGATGTGAGGTACAATTCATGCATTCACCACAGACATCTGTACTCTGTTTTTATGTAATTTGGATGAATGCTTGATGATAAGTAGCACAGTTCCAATGTGTATAGGACAAATTCATAAAGTTCTGTCTGTGAGAAGAAACACAAAACTTAAAATATTTCAAGAATTTGTTCCCCCATAAATTTTGGACAGTGACTGCACACAGAATAAACCAAGTCCACAATTTTACATGGCTTCCTGATGCTATGCACTCATTTTTTCCTTCATATTCAGTAGTTGGCTATACATTATGAAAAGTTTAAATTCATAAATATTTTGTTTTAACTGATGAAGGCTTGTAGCAAAAAACTTTTTCACTCGTTACTTGTCCATTTTTTAAATTGCAACTTAATCCTATTGATTAATGACCCAAAAATAGTATAACAAGTTTATTGAAGACTGGGTATAACTTTTCAAACAATGGCGGCAGCAATGGCTGAACTCCACTTCTACCAAAGATAATTGAAAAAAACATGCTTTCAAGTAACCCACTTCATAAGAATCCCAATTAGTGCTGATCCTACTAGGTGAGCCACAGCACACTTCTTTCACGGCCAAATTAAGATAAAAGACTGACCTGTTAAAATTCTCATGAAGCCAGCCAGGCAAACAATGTCAATGCCATGCAACACCAGCTGCTCATGCACGGCTGCATCAAAGTCTTTCCTACTCTTGTACTCCTCATGTTTGATGACCTGGATTTTACACAAATAAACTTAAAAAGTCTCAAAAGCGAATCACAAACAAATTTTTTTTACACACAAGAGGAAACAAAAATATATGATAGGAAAAAAAAAGCTTTTAAAAGCAGTCAATTTCAACATTACATCATGCAGTTTTTATGTATGCGAAAGAAAAGTTGAAAATGAAATTGACCAGGATTGGGATGACATTGGCATTAAATGAGCTAACCAGCCTTCCAATCTACTTAAACAAGACTTGATAAATTTAGTTATTTAAAAGTTACTGCTCTTATTATGGCTCTTAGCTATGCTTGCTACACTCATAACACTAGACTTGTCCACTCATTCTTATTGAAGTATAAACAATTTCTAATAAATATTTGGGGTCCAATTTCAAGATGGAAAAATCTGCCTCCAGATAAATTAGCAGGGGATCTCAACATTCTAATGAGTAGGATTCAGGGAAGTTTGGGTTCTCAAAAAGTGACATCACTACACATGTCAAGATGAACATCAATACACAGGTCAAGTTGAACATCAATACACAGGTCAAGTTGAACATCTATACACAGGTCAAGTTGAACATCTATACACAGGTCAAGTTGAACATCTATACACAGGTCAAGTTGAACATCTATATACAGGTCAAGTTGAACATCTATACACAGGTCAAGTTGAACATCTATACACAGGTCAAGTTGAACATAATACACAGGTCAAGCTGAACATCAACACACAGGTCAAGTTGAACATCTATACACAGATCAAGCTGAACATCAACACACAGGTCAAGTTGAACATCTATACACAGGTCAAATTGAACATCTATACACAGGTAAAGTTGAACATCTATACACAGGTCAAGTTGAACATCTATATACAGGTCAAGTTGAACATCTATACACAGGTCAAGTTGAACATCTATACACAAGTCAAGTTGAGCATAATGCACAGGTCAAGTTGAACATCTATACACAGGTCAAGTTGAACATCTATACACAGGTCAAGTTGAACATCAACAAACAGGTAAAGATGAACATCTATACACAGGTCAAGTTGAACATCTATACACAGGTCAAGTTTAACATAAAAAACAGGTCAAGTTGAACATCAATACACAGGTCAAGTTAAATAAAAAGGTCGCCAAGAGTAAACAGGATTCTTCAGTAAAATAAGACAATTTGTAGACAATATCCTGCATGATAATCCACCAGACTTTTTTTTTTTAAAACACAAAGAAAAAAAAAACCTCACCAAGGTCTTAATGCCTGCCCTCTGAGCCCTCGTGAGTCCAGCAACATCGGCTTTGTTGGAAACAACAAGGGTGATCTCAGCCGCAGAGTTGTGGCTCTTGTTCTGAGTATGATCTATCAGGGCTTGCAGGTTGGTGCCTGGGGTGGAAATAACAGTTATAAACAACATGATAAGAGTCATCAGTAATTGCTATTAGGACACTTTTCATCACTTCAGCTGCAGCTACTAAGTTAGAATATTGGAGCAAAATGTGAGTAGAGCAAATTGTGGAGATATTTTGTGCTAAAAAAAAATATTTAAAAAAAACAACTAAATTTTCTATTGAAATCATATTTATATCTCAACATTGTAATAGCATAACCAACCCAAAGACAATGTGTTGAAACAACACAGCATAAGAAAGCATTTATGATAGTATATTAAACAGAGATATTAGTTCAGGTATTTCTAGAACAAATATGATTTTCATTAAAACAAAACAAGTGATTACGATCCTTAAAGAATCAAGTGATTATTAATCAAACAGAATCAAGTGATTATTAATTTTTCAGAATCAAGTGATTATTAATCTAATAGAATCAAATGATTATTAATCTAACAGAATCAAGTGATTATTAATCTAACAGAATCAAGTGATTATTAATCTAATAGAATAAAGTGATTTACACGCTTTAAAAAAAACAATCAATACAGATTTTAAAGCAAGTCTCCATTCTGAGAAAATACTATTTTACATAAGAAAAAAACTAATTTTAATGAATACAAATCAGCATTTTTTAATTTTTTAAATAAAAACTCCAAAATTAATTTTTTTCTCTTCTAAACTTCCACCGTCTTGCAGCATGGAAACAATGATGATCAAAAGTCATGTACTATTGGTGAATATGAAAGAAACCACCATTACCTGATCCAGATATAAGAACTCCGACCTTCTTTTTCCTCTCTGGGAGTTTGGGACGTGGCCAACTGGTTAAAAGAGAGGTCCTCAAATTGTCAATAACAACCTTCTCACTGTCAGCTCCTGCAAGTGAAGAAAAGTTTATTTCATGTGGGAATTTTAAAAGACTCAGCATTGAAAAGGAGCAAAATGCAGACTCAAGTAGCATTGAATGGTAGAAAAACTTAAATTTCCATTGAACATATACGAAAGAGAAAAGGATAACATCTTTTTAAAGAGAATTTTGTAAAAGGCCACGTTTTCATCCACCAAAAAGATGCCTCATGTTCTCAAATGGCTCACAGTTGCTCCCCTTAATGACTATGCCAATGGCTACAAGAATTTGTATCACACTGGATCTCTCACATAAAAAGCTTTACCTGTTTGGAACCAAGATTATAGATGTGGACAAAAACTTGTAAATTCAGATAGAGAAGGGATTGTTAACCATTAAAGCCAAACTGTGTACTATTTATGAATTACTTATTCATTTGAATTTATCAACTCTAATTTGCATTTTTGTTTTAAACAGTGCATCATTTCAAGAAAAATTATTAGGTAATAAATACTATTAAATCCAGACTTGAACATGATAATCAACACAAAAATCTACTTCAGCAGTGGACTCGGTCTTTGAGACAGCAGTGTGGTTGATTCATTCACCAGAAACACTGACAGCATATCTGACAACACTGACAGTTTGACAAACTCACCAGAAACACAAACAGCATATCTGACAACATTGACAGTTTGACAAACTCACCAAGAACACTGACAGCATATCTGACAACATTGACAGTTTGACAAACTCACCAGAAACACTGACAGCATATCTGACAACACTGACAGTTTGACAAACTTATCAGGAACACTGACAGCACATCTGACAACACTGACAGTTTGACAAACTCACCAGGAACACTGACGACAGAGCCCACAACCCTGGCTTTGGCTTGGTTCTCAGATAAGACTGCAAGGACTTCAGTGACGTGGCTTTTGCTGACAATCAACACAGCTCCAAGGCCGCAGTTGAAAGTCCTGGCCATTTCATGATCATTGATTTTTCCCTGAAAAAAAAAATGTTGGTGGAACATGACAAATTACATTATTACAAAAAAAACACCAACCCGTTTGATGTTCAATAAAGATTTCAACATTAAAATATGAGTAGAGATACTCTGACTGGAGGCATGTAGAAAGCCTCGTAGCTGAGAACAACACTGGATGATATGAACCAGCTACTTCTTGATTGGCGGGCAAACGACACAGTCCGCTGCACAATGTCCATTTGTTCTATCTGGTGCAGGGGAGATTGGCCAGACACACAAAAATTATCTATATCTCAATGAATGGGCATTGCTCGGCAACCTCTAGTTCAGGGGTCCTTAATCAGGGGGTGTAGGAACACACATAGAATCAAGTCTATTAGCATTTTTTATCAAAGGGGTTGCAGGGAATGTGTTTTGGAATCAAGAGGGGATAAAAAGCTGAAAACAGGTTGAGAACCCCTTACTTAAGTAGGGTTTTTTGCTTTTTTTCCATATGTGAAGGCCAACGATCAATTTATTGATCATTTTGGGTAGTTAATAAATGAGAAATTACAAGCTGAATTTCAACTGCAATAAAAAAAAAAGTCCACAGTAGTGGACATGTTCTTAAAACAACACAAGCCACCACATCTGATATACAGGTGGTCAAGAAGCTCACCATGTACTGCAACCACCCAAACACCGGCGGCACTTCCCAACTGCTGGCATCTAATCTGACACCCGAGCCAGAGGGGAGAACTCTTGGGATGTTTTCCGTCAGTCCACCGCCAGTGATGTGAGCAAAGCCCTTCACCTTCCCAGAGTGCAAGGCTGGAAGGACTGACTTCACATAAATTTCTGTTGGAGTGAGTAGCTTTCTGCCTGCAAATAGAAATTTTGAGTAAAACAACTTTTGGTCTCTGATCAAAACAAATGACAAAACGTATCATGTTTGTTTACTGCAGACAGTGAAAAGGTTTCTACTGACAACTTGAGGACTCGCCCACCTAGTTAGTAGACCACATCATTTGATTTCTTATGTTGCCATTACTTTATTCTGAGGTTTTTCCCTTTGTACGTCATTTAACACTAAACTACCATTTGGGTCCGCCGTCACCTCCCAGATTCTCACCAGCGCCTGCCTACTACACCAGGTGGTGGCAGATCAGCCAGATAGTTACTTGTGATGCCACTAAAGGCCGCCTAGTAACTACACTATCATACATTCATCTGCTAAAGTTTACTGCTTCCCTCACAAGTGAAGCTCTTTTTTAAAAGAAAAATTAGTACGATTTTATTCACTTTTGTTGAAAAGTTACAAGAGTTCAAAGTTCAGCACGACTTCCCCAGATCAAGCTTCTTAGTTTAGATGATGAAACGATTGAACAGCTAAATTTAGAATTTATTGAAATTAATGTAGGAAGTAATAGTGATGATGTTATAGTTGAAGATATATCTGAATCAGGCTATAAAAACCAACACTGTTACATATGTAGATAATAATACTAGCATGTTACAGTGACCATGGTGACTGTCAAGTGTCAGTCGTCAATGAATCTTTTTAAATGCAGCGATAGTCAACGTTACCTTTTAATTATTATTCTCTCAATAACCTTATTTTTTAATGATGATAACATTTAATTCATTTTCTCATTGAATATAAATTTAAATAGCAAAGAAATTGATTTGTTTTAAAAATTACATTTGTTTAAAAAAAAAATAACATTTACCTTTAAAAACGGAGTTATGGCCCTTTGCTTAGGCAATATAGCAAGTTTTCATTTAAACTGGTTAGATGGGAGTCGTAGGTTAGGCAGGAGTCAGATACACAAAAAATATTGAATTCTGTTATACTGAGTTTGAGTATTTGCTTTTAAACTTTAGTTGGTCAATGAAGTATGTGGTAAACCAGACTTACCAGTGATCTGTTTTCAAATCTTATTTGGATCCATAGTATCAAATTTTTTTGTTGAATTTTAAATTAAATTGCACAATTTATATATATAGGGCAAACAATGACGGAAAAAAATGTCATGGATTTACAAGAATCTTTATACTTTTGTTATTTCTTGTTGTTAAAAACAACTCTTTAATCAATATATTTTAAGGTGTATTCAAGTTTCCTTGTTAACCCCAACACACTATTTAAGGTGTATTCAAGTTGCCTTGTTAACCCCAACACACTATTTAAGGTGTATTCAAGTTGCCTTGTTAATCCCAACACACTATTTAAGGTGTATTCAAGTTGCCTTGTTAACCCCAACACACTATTTAAGGTGTATTCAAGTTGCCTTGACATGAAAAAAACAAACTTACCTAATGTCACACTCTTATCGAAGGGACAGGGCATGTCAAACCTCAAGTTGTGCAGCTCAACCACCTTGCGGACCAGACTGAACCCGTTGCTGTGGAGGCCACTGGACGGCAAGCCAATTACAGCATCCCCCGCCTGGATCTCATCCGTGGATGTCATCATCTTGGATTTCTCAACCACGCCCACGGAGAACCCGCCCAGGTCGTATATGTTGCCCGAGTAGATCGAGGGCAGATAAGAGATGTGCTGCTCTGAAATAACAGCAAGGGAAAAAGTTAGATTTGGCATCCAGATGTATCTTGACATTCTCCAACTTTTCTGATGTACCTATTTCAAGTTAAGCTGGCTGTGGCACAGGTAATCAAGGGGTTGGGTCCCCTTCCAGATGCTGCCCCGGGCACAGAAAAGCCAAAACAAAGTCTGCAATCAGTATGCTCGTTAAATTGCCCTGATCTCTTAGGTTTGGCCCTCCGAGGGACCACACTTCATAGCCTCTGCAAAGGCTGATGTAGAGTAGTTTGTATTTATACCACATTGAATTCAAGCAAGAAATAAACACACACGTTTCTACCACAGCATTTTAATTCTGACTTTCAGTTGCAAGCAATGTTCCCTCTAAGGTTTGCTGGTTCGTGTGCAAAATCATACAGTTGTGTGCAAAGTTTTACAGCATCAATTTTTTTGTGTGCAAAATTTTTAAGTCCACAAACACAAACTTACATTACAGGGAAATTTGCTGCACGGATTCTCAAAACTGCTGCGCGGCGTCTGAGATAGCTGCACAGCTTAAAGGGAACATTGGTTGCAAGTCAAATGAAATGGAACACTTACCGATGTCCAAAAAAATTCTCACTTTCACTACAACTTTTAATCTAAATCACAGCTATTCAAATTATTATCTCTCACGCTCAACATAACTCACACATTCTTTAACACTTTTGTTCACCTAAACAAATACATGTACGAAAACAGCAATGTAATCTGACCATAACGCTGGCATTTTTTCTACACCTCAGATTTGGACAACATATCTAATATTAATATGTTTCAACTGTTATGATGCACAAATTTATCTCTTATAGAAACAAAAGGTGCGCCTGCGGCTCTAAATTTAATTTTAAAAATTACAAACTGAAAAGCGAAATGTATCACTTTACTATGTGCTGCAAATACTGTTGAGAAAACAAAAAAAATGGTGCGGTGAGCCACCGCTAGACCTATCAGAAATAGCCTTTTAACCTCACAAAATCCATCTGTACTTGTCTTTTTGCAATAGCTTTTCCTGGTTGTTTTTACATTTTACTCCAGCCCGCTCCTTTTCTATTCTTATTTTTGTGAGGGACTTGTTCCCGGACGTATTTGTTCCTTTTACATAATGATCGGTAGGATATATGTATATTATGTAAAATTTAATTTATTTTCATGCAATTTTTGTTTTTGTTGAGCTGAAGTAGGAATTAGCCAAAACGTCTCAAATTTGTATTTTTATCTTTCAATTGAAGCTTAAAAATGCTGTTTATTGTGTCTTATTAATGTATATCAGGAAGTAATGATATGATTGTTATGGTGGACTAGCGGACTGGCCCGTACCGATAGCCAGCCAAGGAAACAGCGCGCATGTGCAAAGAGACTGGACAGAGGGTGTGTGTTTATGAACCGCGTTCCGGACGCAAGCAGAAAGTCAACACCTGATTGAGAATTTGTATTTATGTATATATATGTTTGTTACCTGTTTGAAATAAAAACAATGAAAACATAATGATACTTTTAAAAATCAGTCCTAGAAACATAAATATAAATAACATAGTAGAGAGGAACATAATTCATAACGTACAACTCACCAATCAGAGCACATCCAGCTTTTTGGCACCCTTCTGCAACACTCTTAAGCACAATTTCAACAAGATCAGGATCTGGCCGACCAGTTCCCAAGTAGCAAGTGAAGAAAAGTGGGTCAGCGCCACTCGCCAAGATGTCATTGACACACATGGCAACAAGATCTGCTCCTATGTCGCCATGATCATTCAGGGCCTGGGCAATCTAAGAGATGAGAACATAAAACATGATGGACACAGGTACACAAACTTCCATTGAAATTTCATCCAATTTTAAAAGTTATCAGCTGAAAATATTGTAGGTTTTAATACCTAAACATTTCTAAAGCAGGGGTTCTTAACGTGGATGAACTATGACACTTCTGGGGTCCATGAATAGATTTCAGATCCTCGTTCACTAACGAAATATAAATACTTCTTTTGCATGCTTACTTAAGTGAAATTTTGGGTAATCTACCACTTCAGCATCCGTTAATAAAAAATTGTGTTGTTCGGGTTTGAAGTGCTATTGAAACAGTTATTCTTATTGATCCCCGTTAGTTAAAGTACAGAGGAGAAAGGGTGACTGGGTTGTTGGTGGCATAACAAAAGAGAGTGGGCACTGTTTTCACTGTTTTTGAAGTCCCAGACCAATTTGTGATCACATTACAGGAGTGCATAGAGAGATGCAGGCTCACGTATTGTATCAGATTGAGGGGAGGGGTATGCAAAAATAAACCAGATCAGACACAGAATCTACAAACACTCTATTGTTGTGCATCAACAAAATTCTTTTGATCCAAATGATGCTGGTGTCCACACGCAGAATGTTGAAAATATGTGGATGCGCACAAAGCTGCGATCGTTATGCTTTAGAGTTGCATGAATTCATGTTCTGCAATCGTTTTTGTGGAGATTATATAAACTCAAACTCTGTTTGCATTCCATACATTAAACTGTTGACTTTTTTTTAAAATCATTAAATTGTTTACATTTATGTTAAAATTTTGTCTTAGATTTGTGTGCTGAGTCATATTCCTTTATGTACAATCAATAAAAGAATTTTATCCTATCAATAAAAGAATAACCGTTTCAATAGCACTCGAAACCAGACATTTTTTAATAACCGATGCTCAGGTTGTAAATTTTGTATGTCAAGAGTTCACTTTCTTAATCACAAGGGGTACAAAATTGGGTGGTGTTGTGGTGGTTTGTGTGGAAAAGGGAGGGGGTGGGGGGAGCAGCCAACAAAAGGATTATCTTACTCACCTTTTTCCTACACAAAAGTTTCAGCGATAGTCTAACTAAAACTTGAAGCACTTATACCCCAACGACGGCTACTCACATCAGAATTCGTCAACAAGCACTTCAAGCATGGACACAAAAATCTAGTTAATGTCTTTCTTCTAGCCACACATAGATGATAGTAGAAAGACTGCCAAATAACCTCACATAACAATTCAGATACCTTCAGTTCAGTTCCCATGCCATCAGTACCCTCCAATGGCTGTCTTACTCATAAACACAAATAGGAGAAAGACTGCCAACATGAGTAACCTAAATAACTTAATGACTGTGTAACCCTTTAGATACCTTCAGTTTAGTTCCCACACCATCTGTTCCAGACACAAGAACAGGATGCTCAAGGTTTAAACTACCGATGTCGAACGTTGGAGGCCCCCCATCTTTGTTTAAGACAGCCCCTGGCCTCTTGGCAATATCTAGAACAGCTGAGAAATCTGGCTTGTGAAGCTTGCCCTGAACGTCAGGCGCACATTCAAGATGCTTCACTGAAACCAAAGATTGACATCAAACCTTCAACTTATTTCCTGTTTGCATGGTATGTCAAATGTATTTGAAGCAGGATCTTGGGTACTAAGTATATTTATGATCCTGGGTACTGAGTATATTTAGGATCCTGGGTACTGAGTAAATTTAGGATCCTGGGTACTGAGTATATTTAGGATCCTGGGTACTGAGTATATTTAGGATCCTGGGTACTAAGTATATTTAGGATCCTGGGTACTGAGTGTATTTTCCAAAGATTTAATTTACTTTAATTAATTGCTTAACTTTCCTACACAGCTTAAGGATATTTTTTCTTCTTTTTGTAATTTCCTGTCCAATAATGGGTTTGAAAGAATCAGCCCTCAATTGTTAATTTTGTTACAGCTCTTTCTGTTTATGTGACAGACTGGCCAACATGGTAGTGAGGAATGGAGTGTGCATTATTTATGAGACAGACTGGCCAACATGGTAATGGTGAAGGGAGTGTGTGTTATTTATGTGACAGACTGGCCAACATAGTAGTGGTGAAGGGAGTGTAGTGTGTGTGTTATGTATTCAGTTGGCTCGCAGTAAAGTGCTCTACCAATCACTGGTTTGTACAATCAGATTTTGAGCCAGATTTTATCGACTAAGATCAATTTTGTTGTTTGCTAATGTTTCCAAAGGAGAGTTGAAGATAAAAGAAACTAACCAAAGTTTTCAGGGGCATGTTGCCGGGCAACAGATTTGGCTTTCTCTAGAACAGACTGCAGACCATCAACAATAACGCCTCTAGTGTCACCTGAAATGGAAGAGATAAACTATACATCTTCTGAAGGGGTGTCTTTCTACACAACCCTAAACCAACACTTAAACACACAAAAATTTTAACTTTGAAACAAATTTAAATGATGAATTTAAGAATGAGTTCAATTTGTTGTAGTATTTTAACTTTTTAAAAAAAGCCTGCTTTGTTATTTACCGGTTGTCTCCTCTATTTGACCTATTTCTTTCACATCTATCTGAAGACTGGACAGTGCCACTTCAACTGACTCAACATCTTTTTGTCCTACAACCAAAACTGCAGCTATGCCACAACTGCTGTACTGGGCCATGTCTTCTGCCGAGAGCTTTGTCTTTTAAATATATAAGAAAAAAAACAAATTATCAACAAAAAAAATACACTAAATTTTATAAAACAAAAAATAAATTAATTGTAATATTGAGACTCAGTTTCAAATTTTTTTTCTTCAAAAAGGTTGGTGTTGACCATATAACATTTACATATTTTAGGAAAATTTCAATTAAGTCAATAAAGGTAAAAGGGGGATAATGTACAAGTCAAATTTTGCTCAAAAAACAGGAGAATATTGATGACAGCAAAAGCTGGTCGGATTATATTTAGATACCCCCCCTCCCCCCCATAATATTTAAAATAATATATTGTAACACGAATAGGAATCCAATACCGCAAAATGTATCAGTAGGTGACACTACCCTTTCTTTATTCTAGAATTATCCTGCTCACCATCTCAGCCATCCATCCAAACACCGGCCCCAGTGGCCATTTGTGGGCATCCAGCCTGGCACTTGTGCCAGGGGGAAGTACTCTTGTGATGCACTTTGAAAGACCGTCACTGATGTAGACAAAACTCTTGACTTTCCCAGCATGCACCAGTGGCAGAACAGGCTTGATGTAAATGTGGGATGGCACCAGGATCTCCTCACCTAACGTCCAATGAGAAGATAATGACATGCTGAGCAGCAATAACTCTGTTCTTATAAACATAAGTTAACTTAGACATTTCACGCTCCTGTGACTGGAAATCTCCGATTCCAAGACTGATCAATCGTCAAGTTTCCATTTTATTTTGTTTGATTTTCAGGCAGACATGACTGAATCACTCAAACATATGTGTAGCAAATGTACAATGATCTAGCTTAAATCTAGCTTTAAAATATTAAAGTACAAGGCAATAGAAAAGAATGACAGTGCATGGAGCACATCAAATTTTTTTTTTACCAGTTTGGGTCAACACTTTATGGTGTAATGAAAACTATATCACACGACCAGAAGAGGAACAAAATTATACTCAGAAGTGGTATTAAACTAACTTATGAAGTTTGCAAATATATAAAGATTTATGAACAGGGATAATTATGAACACACTAGACAATTCTTTATCTAGTGATTCAATAAGCATGCAGTTTTTCTCATCACTACATCAGTAAACACTTGATTAGTGACTCAGTAAACCAAAAGTTAATCCAGTGGCTCATTAAGCCAAAATTTATCTAGTGACTCAGTAATTCAATAGTTAATCTAGTATAGTGAATCAATAAGGCAACACTTAAATCTATTGATTCAGAAAAGCAACACTTTTTCTGGTGATTCTGGTGAATCAGTAGGCCAAAATGTAATCTTACCCAAAGTCGCTCCACCGTTGACACCTTTAATTTTGTGTGCATTCATGGAGTGCAGACTCAGGAGTTCTTCTAAGATGACAAAGTCTTCGTGCTGTAAGCCACTGGAGGTCAGGGCGAGCACTTTATCCCCGGCAGCAGGCTGCTGCCTTTCTGACTTCAGATGAAATTCGGGAATGGCACCGACTGCGATCCCGGCCACATCATAATCTTGGTTTCTGTACATGCCTGGCATTTCTGCTGTTTCCCCACCTGCACATTTTTGCACAAAGGGTGTCATTTAAAAATAGATGTGGAAGAAAGGAGGGTTATCAATTAAATAATAATTAATCGTCCTAATAAAAAGGGCCTTTGCAGGTGATGATGACTGAAAAATTGGAATGTTCAGTATTTTTCTCATTCACAAAGCACAATATCTTTAAAAATATTTTTTTTCAAAGAGAAATTAATTTATGAGGTCAGGGAAATGTTAATAAATATTGCTTGCCAAGCTGAATCCCCTCACATATGGGCAGAGGTTAACGCAACGAAAACAAAAAAGGAAAATCAAGCACAGTTGCTATGTGTTTATTTATATATCCGCGCTTCGAGCCTTTGGGGATGGAGCCTGTTTTTGAAATGAACTTTATTATTATTATTTTCATAATCTAAACCACTAAATATCGAATTAAAGATTTATAATCAAAATCCAAACCATTATATGTCTCTTTAAATATTCATAATAATAATCTAGAACCCCTATTTCTCTTTTTCCTCATTTTAAATTCTTTTATTGCGATTATTTATATATTGCTCCTTAAAATTCAAAAGATTAATCTTAAAACATGACAAAATTAAAAGATACTCTACCAATCAAAGCGCACCCAGCTTCTAAACATCCTTCGGCTATGCCGCGAACCACTTCTTCGGCACAAGGCACATTCAGCTTCCCCGTGGCATAATAGTCTAAAACAAAAATGGGCTCTGCCCCGAGAGTGATGAGTTCATTGACACACTGAGCCAGGAGGTCAAAGCCAATATTGTAGTGATGACCCAGGCTTTCAGCTAGCTGTTGACAGAATTTCATCGATTTAAAACTGAAGACAAGAATTGGTTCCTACATTAGCAAATAACATTAAGAAAGGTGATAGTGTATAGAACTAGATACAGTGATTGCATTTTTAATACCCCTCAATTAACATGATATGAACAAAAGAATTTGAAAAATACTTTTTGACTGCTGATAAACAATTTCCAAATATACAACAGAGAAACTGTGGCTGCTGAATCAACTTAAATAAAAAAAATTTTTTTTAATCTTTTCACTAAGAATTTATTTTAACACATAAGGCTGACTAACAAATTTTTAAAAGATAATTTTTAGTATGAATTGTTCATATCATTAATTTAAAAAAAAATATTATTCAACATTCAATACATGGTTTCTGTGGTCCCAAATTTTAAAAGAAGTCTTTTATAGGAAATAGTAAAATTATAATTTGCAGCCATAATTGGAGGCATATCTGAATTTCAGCCAAATCTTTCACATTTTTTTTCTTTGAATAGCAAAAAGCCACCAAGTTTTATTTTTCTCTCCAATAGCTAAGTCAATCTTTATGTATTGATTGGAAATAGCCTACCATTAGATTAAATAAACTGATTATTTCAAGATAAAATTTGATGTGTACCTTAAGTTTTGGCCCAACTCCCCATGTCCTACAGGTAAGCACAGATTTATTGAGCCCGGGAGCGGAGAGATCAAAAATACCCCCAAAGCCACCCAAGTCAGCATCACAACCAGATCGCCTCGTCATTTTTGCAAGAGGCTTGATGGCGTTCACAAGGTAATCACCAGCGATGATATCAACTCCTGCATCTTTGTACCGCAAACCTCCTTGGTCATCAGTGACTGTAGGAGTGCTCTCCCTGCTAGACCTGATTTAGATATAAATAGTTATGTGTACTGGTTTAACCTAGAAACCCCAAATCAGGTGGCAAGCGATTTAGTGAATTCCACAGATATTGAAGAAAATCTTCATTTTATGTTAGAATAAAAGCTTTAAATACTGAATGAACCAAACCCTACACATAAATCTAGATACTCTTGACAATTTATTTTTTTTTAAAATAAAATGTCTGAGTCCATTTCTGTACTATCTTAATATTTTTCAGTGTCCTGTTTATAAATCAGGATTATGCAACAGGAATAATTTGATAAAAAAACTCACTTTTTAAAAATTTAGAAATCATCTACTTATAGGTAATTATCTAATTCAGGTCTTTTTAACCAGGGGTACCCAAGGGAAGTGGGAGGCAGTGTCACAGGGTGCGGAGAGACCCAAAAAAATTGTTTAATTACATTTTTATTAGCATTTGTAGTGTGGGGAAATATGTTTTGAAATTGAGATAAGGTGAGGTAAACATTTGTCAATCAAGAGGGGCTGCTGCAATGTAAAAAGGTTAAGATCCCTTGATCTAATCAGTGTCATCTGCTGGTTCAAGCACAAGGACAAGTAAATATTTCACACACATACGTACAAATTCTCCTCTTGACTATTCAATAAAACACAACTTTAATTTGAAAGCTATTCTTTTTCTAACTTTTTTTTCTCTAAATTATTAAAGTTTATTTGTGTATGCTTTCTTTCTTCAAAATGGTTTTGTTATGAAATTCTTACAGTGCTCAAGAAAACAAAAAATCAAGAAGAATTTAAGTTAACATTTATTCTTAGCATTACAAACAAGTTAACCATACAGAAGAGTGTATACAAGTTCATGCACCAAATCTTTAAAAAAAAAAAAAATCCAGCACATAGCCAGCAGAAAATATCGCAAAAAATGCCAGGTAATTTTAAAAAATAAACAAAATTAAAAAAAAAAAGGAAACATCTATAACATTTTTTGTAGTTTCTGGCCTCATTCATATCAGTAAAAATTAGACATTAGCCATAGAGTTCTTTTTCTTTTTAAATCACACTAAAATATGTACACATTGATTTTGACAGCCAAAATATTTAACAATAATACAATATGGAAAACAATTTGGGAAAAATATTTATTTGTAACTAACACTGTTATTGCGTAATTTTCAGTTAATCTTCATCTAAATGTGTCATTTCAGCTGATTGAATACACATTTTTTAAGTTAACAATGCTTTTAAGGTTTCAAATTAAATGTTAAAAAAAAAAAATTTTGTTAAATCATTTTTTTTTTAAAATTGTTTTTTATAAATTCCCATCTTCACCTTTTAAAGCTCTTATGGCCAATGTCTTTTCTGTAATATGCCCCTTCAAACTGAACCTTTGCGGCCTCAGTGGTGGCTCGTTGACTGGCCAAGATGGCAGTTGACTCTGTGGCTACTACGGCCAGCACACGCCCACCGCTGGTGACCACCTGACCCTCAGCATCTTGACTGGTTCCTGCATGAAATACTCTAACACCATTTCTCTCAACCTCATCAATTCCTGGAGAAGTACATTATAAAATTTTTCTTTTAATTCGTTAGACAAGAAGCCAAAATATTTTTAAACAACAATAAAAGTATTTCTGCATTAAGGAAATCAATTCAAAACATAAACTTTCAACTCAGTCATTGTTAACGCATGAAGTATGTGTGACACATCCTTACGGTGGTGATGAGATGTTGTTTGTCACAAGTGCTGAGATGTCAGTAATTATGAAGGATGTTGTGAAATGTTATTTCATAGATGTGTTCCTGAGATTGTGCAGGGTGGAAGAGACTAATTTCGGGCCATGGGAAACCCCTGCATTTGGTGATGGGGGGGTCGTTAAAGGAATGTGTGTGGCATGTGAAAAGGTTTTTTGTGTTTTGTTGGGAATTCACAGAGACACAACTTACACATCATTTGTCAGAAAATAGAAGCACCACTGTGCGGCCCTGAACATGGACGTACGGCGCTGCTTCTGAACGTTCATTCAGACATGTGTCTGCTCTTACAAAACCAATATGGCCCTGGATGTCAATTTTCCCAGACTGCTCTCAAGGGGTCTTATGTTGCCAAATTGATGCCCCGTGAGAGTAAATACCACCAAAATTGTGGTGCCTCTGCTATTTTCCATGATCATAAATAAACTAATTGGAATGAATGCATTTTCAACTAACATAGGATAAAGACTGGAAAGGTGCTAGTTAGGGAGGCTCCTGATTGAGCTGCCTAGATTACAGAACCAATTCTTCACTTCCTTGTAAAGAAATGACAGAGTCAGACAAGTTCAGCACAAACCCATGTCATTCTTACACAGCCATGAGCAAATCAACGAGGAAACAACTTTCACTAGTCAATTAGCAATTCTGGGGTTTCAGAAAACGAGGTGGCTATAGGGACCCAGGTCGCAGAAGTGAGAGGTAGGGATGAAAAATATATTTAAAATATTATTGTTGGGTTGTAAGACAAAATTATGTTTCAAATGAAAGATAATTAAATGGACTATATACATCTGAATAGCATTTAGTCTTAAGGGACTCGGGTCCGAATAACGGCTATGCATGTCCGGGTCCCTTTAGACTAAATGCTATTCGGATGTCATTTGTGGTAGTTTATTTCTGTTAAACTGAAGAAGTAAGTTTACAAAAATATAGTCCATTTAATTAACTTTCATTCGATACCTAATTTTGTCTTACAAACCATACAATAATATTTTTAATAACCCCAAACTCTCACTTCTGATACCCGGGTCTGAATAGTCGCAGCCTTCAGAAAATAAACTCTCTCATTAAACTTACCAGAAATTTTCAGACCCTTCCTGTAACCATCAGGATAGCCACCACTAACAACAACAACTCCCACAGCTGTACGAGATGTGTCAAAACTGGGCGAAGCTTGCTTCAAGTTACCACTGACGCAAGCTTTTAATGTTGGCAGGAGGTCAGAGGTCATCAACAATAAAATTGACTGGAATACAAAGAAAACATAGGAAGATATAATTAAGTCTTTTTCTTTTACGGTGTATTTTTCAATTAGTTAATATTTATATAGTTTCCAATGTATGTAATATATATTGATAATCTATAATGAATAGTATATATTCATTTGCCATTTTAAATTGATATAAAATTTGACAGTAAATCAAACTTCGAACATTTAATTTATGGTGGATTTACCTGTGTTTCAGGGTCTCCGAATCTGCAGTTGAACTCCAGAACTTTTGGGCCATCTTTAGTGATCATGAGCCCAGCATAAAGCACACCTATAAAACAACATCAACGACACAATCCAACGATGAGTAATCATTATGAGTGTTAAAGCTGGTAAATGATATTATAATTTAATTCAATACAATGATTGATCTAACAGTTCATTGTAGTTGTACCTTTAATCAAAACTTAAAACGTTTTTTTTTACTTCAGGAATAATAGAGACTTTAAGTTCCTCATAAAAAATAAACTGTCTGAGAAATACAACTTAAATTAATAGAAATTACTTATCAGTAATGACAAGCATAAAACATTGTTTTTTTCTGATACTTCAAGACGGTTTTGCTCTATGGTTAAAATTTTCAATATGATCTGCATTGTGATGCATCACACCTGGTCTCTAACAAAAAGCAAATAAACCATGACTAGCTATGAGTTTAAGCAGAAATCAAACATTGCAAGATGCAATTTCATTTCTTTTAAGGAATAAGACAGAATTCTTCTGGCAAAAATGCAGAAAAGCACAACTAAATTGAGAATTTATTCCTAGACACTGAAAGATCATATGTATAGTAAACTTCATCTATTCCATAAATATCCCATGAATATCTGAGATCATATTTAAAATAAATTTATTTTTTTCAAGGGTAAAAAAGTTATTTAACAGGAGCACTTTACAATAAGTCAAGTCCATTAATTCTATTGAAACTATAATTATTCATAAATATACCCAAAACAATTCAAATTACCCGAGTATTTGTTTCCTTCTTTTGCCATACCAGATACAGTTTTTTCAAGAACTTCTTTCTGAATAAAGTCCAAGTCCGTTGGTGTAAGCTGAGGGCAAAGTAAAATATTTTATTTGTAGTCAAGGTGATTTAATTTTAGAAAATTAAGAATTTTTAGGAACTCATATTTTGGTAGTGGAGGATTTCCATTCAAAATTCTTCTTCAGAAAGGTTGCCAGCTGGATATTCTCCTATTTGGGTGACCACACATGCAATCAAACATCCTACCTACTAGTTGAAAGTCAGAAATGCTACCAATGCAATGCAGTAGCCCTTTCCCACACATACACACTGTTTCTTAATTTATTAATATAAGAACCAGAGAGAAAAGGCTGCAATTTTATAGAAGAAATTATAATTAACAGTGAAGCTAGGGATAGATAATATGTCTATTTTAATACCCCTGGGTATGGACAAATGGCTCCCATCCCCCCAGTGTTGGGGCCTTCATCCTTCTCCAAAAGCCTCTTATGGTCCTGGGCAGGAGGCATGACATGTACACTGATGCCATCGGTAAATGCAAGAACCTGGAAAAGGGGAGAAAAAAAGATAAACAAAGAATGAATTCATAAGTCTGCACAGCAGAAAATCAAATGCCTTGTGGAATTAAATTTACAGCACATTAGAAAAAACTGAATTATCCATAAGGCAAAATGATCAGCTCCACATGAAACCAACATTGGAACAAGTTAATAGCAAAAAACTTCTGAGATGTCAACTTATTCATTAGATTCTTTCAGTAAAGGTTAAGCTTAAAATTTGAAAGGTTACATAAAAAGTTAATATCTATAATTTGATTAATGCTGTTACAAATTTTAGGGAAGTTCAGAGTGACCCACCGAAACTTCGGGTCCCTCCAGCAGCTCTTCAACCACCACGACATCGCCAGCAGCACCATACTTCTTGTCCGTCATCATCTCCCTCACCGCCTCACAAGCTCCTTCCTGTGAGGATGCCACCACCACACCCTTGCCCGCAGCCAGCCCACTAGCTTTAACAACCAGAGCTGCAAAGTCTGCACTGAAATTATCATAATTAACAAATAAATATATATATATTTTTTTTACTTTTAATACTGCACTTATATTTGGCTCATGTTTGTTTCCAATATTTTGCTCATCTTGGAGGTGTACACTTTACATTTTTGCATGTGTGAGATTATCACCAGATGCAAAATTTGGCAGTTTATTCCATATTTTACTATATGCAAAGCATCATTTTGATCATAACCACCGATAGCACATCAGTTCCACATTGTTATTTCACGCACCATTTGAGTGGATGCTCCAAAGAATTAGCATTGCAAAATTACAATTGATTAAATCTTCACAAACATATTACATTAAATAGTAATGAATTCAGCTGCATTACTGTAACTAAGCGAACTTAAATGGAAGGTCTGTATCAGAGAACACATCATCTCCAATGATGCCAAACTAATGTACATGGAACTTTTAATAAAGGAGGTAATAGGTTTTATGCATGAGAACAATCACTATAATTTCAGTGTATATCGAGAATATTGGAGGAAATAGTTGAACAAGATATTGTTAGGCTTGAAATGAAAAGACAGGATAATTAAAAGGACATTTTGGCTAATGCCTTCTTCAGCAGACAATACAAAACAACAAAAACAGATAATCAGAAACCGAAAAAAGACTCATTGTAGCCAATGTAGGTCTATCTTGAGAATTGGAATATTAGAGTCGCAGATAATCTATGTATAAATGTTTATTACAACTAGATTATATCTAAGTATAAATATTGAATCCTATTCAACAACACCTAAATCCCACAGAGATTTTAGTGCGTAAGCAAGGAGAAGACTCATGAAAACATTTTTTCATTTTTTTCTTGCTATTGGGATTTGGATGCCCTTCCACCAATGGTGCCAGAAGCATTTAAAATAAGAGGACTCGCAAAATAGCTTAAAGAAGTTTAAGGTAAAGCCTAAATAATGTCAAACTCACTTAACAATGTACTTGCACGCCTCGTCAGGCTCCGTGAAACTCTTGAACCTGGCTGTAGGAATCCCGTGTCTAACCATGAAATGTTTGGCAAAGGATTTATCTGATTCAATTTTAGCAGCTGATGCAGTCGGCCCAAATGTGGGAATACCTGTTGTGGAAGGGAATGTGATTTGATTTTTAAAATGTATTCATTTATCACAAGCACATAAGCTTTTTTCAATAGAAGAAATCAACAACTAAAAGACTTTCATTGGACAATAAATCAAGATTATATACACTTTTGGGTTATGACTGGCGTCCTCTATCATTTAAAAAAAATCATACTTACAAAAATCATTCCTTTTTCTTTAATTTGAAACCAGAAGCTTGAATAAGAACACAATACCCACCCATCCACCCCACACACAAAATTCCCATACCTGTTCCTGTTAGAAAATCTACTATCCCAGCTGCCAGTGGATCCTCTGGCCCTACTATTACAAACGTAATGTTGTTGGATCTGCACCAATTTGATATGCTTTCAAAATCCTTAACATTCAGATCTGAGGATTAAAAAACAACATGTTAGAAATTTGCAATAAAATTGACAGACTTTCCAAATGTTTTCTTAAATTTAAACAAAACAACTGATATTCATTAACAACGTCCTTTGAATAATAATGCTTTAAACATAAATCAAGGGTGTTGGCCTGTCTCTTAATTTTTCTTCCAACTCTAAATGACAATATAGGTTACATGTAAACTGTTGTAAAAAAAAAAAGAAGGGTCACAAAGTATATTATTTTCACAATGTTATCTCAATTTGAGCCTGTGTAATGATGTTTAGAAGCCTCTGTCAAAAAAAAAAAGATGTCTAACACACCCACGGCTCAGAAATACTGAGATACACAAAGAATGGCACCTCAATAAGCTTCCAAAATGAACAGGTCTTATTATAAATACTGTGGTTGTAAGATACCATTTGCATAAGTTTAAGCACAATTTTTTAAAACTTGCATTTTTCATGTCAACTCCTATAATATCATCATACATACCAACATTGGAAACTTTTGCAACAGTTGATGTGCCAGCATTGCCAGGAGCCACAAAGATTTTGTCAATAAGATTGGACTGTGACAGTTTCCAAGCCAATGCATGCTCTCGACCACCACTTCCGATGAGCAAAACTAGTTCTCCCATTGTTTCAATCTAAAGAGTTAGGCATTTTTTAATAAAAATTTAATAATAACATGCATTAATAACAAATAAACCTAGGCACACTCTTTGTAAACCCCCAGACAGCATCACCAAACAATCCCTAACATGGAATCCACAGGGAAAAAAAGAGAGAGGAAGGCCAAAGAATATATGGAGAAGTGAACTAGAGGCAGACATGCAAAGTATGGGATACACCTGGAAGCAACTAGAAAGAAAAGCACAGAACCGTGATGAATGGAAAATTCTTGTGGACGGCTCGGCCCCAGATGGGGTAAAAAGACATAAAAAGAAGAAAGAAGACATTGTGTTTAAAAACATAATTATATAAAAATAAAATTCAATTAGTTCAAAAGTTTGTAATAATTATTTCAACATTGCTAGTGATATAAATAATTACTATTTCAAAATCTCAAATGATAGACAAGCAGCTGTTAAAAAATCAGTTTGCTGTGTTTTTTTTTAAAATTCGGTAGCTATTGACATAGACTGTCTCAGACCATTCTAAGCTCATTGATGCTGCTGGTAACACAACTAGCTACAGCTCTGGCTATGAGACATTTGTACTTTTTTAATTCATAAGATTAAGTGTAGGCCTATAAGTTTGCTAACTAATATCATAATGAATGTCTTTTGGCATTTTTGAAATCTAAAAGATTAGATTGTTATGTATTAAGACTAGGGCGGTGCAGACCCCACTGGATGACACGCTAACAGGATGTTGACACCAAATGGAGTATTTCTAATTTGACAGAGTTCACTCAAGTCTGTTTCATAAATGATCTCAGTTAAATACAAGAGCAGGGTGCAACCATTTACAGGGTGCCACAAAAGCAGGTTACACCAGATTAGGTTGCCACAAAATAAGGATGTCACAAGGTTGCATCAGAGCAGTTGATCACCAGAGCAGGCAGACTCTGAGGAGGTCCATGGGGAAGTCCGTAGAGGGGTGATAACATGATTTAACCCCACTGGGTGACTCCAACCCTTGTGATGACACTGGACATGTTTATTTCTTCTATTAGAGACGGGAACATTAAAATTTGAAACACATTCTAATAGAAAGTACTCTGGGTGCTGAATCCCTATCCTTAATTTAGCCCCATACATAACAAAGCATTTCCTGGGGAGAATCTTATTAAAGCTGTGGTGCCTACCAATGTTTCTTACTGTACTCAAGCGATTAGAAAGGCAAAATAAAAAGCAAGGCAGCAAGGTCTGTTCTTGCGCTTACTCTGTAGAAATATTAATAAGGTACCAATCAAAGCAGTATGGTACACAATTCCATACCTGAAACGTGTAAAGCTCATGTGCATTTAAGGAGAAACCACTGGCATTGTGGCAAAATTCTTTTAATAAAAAACATTGCTAAAAGTAGACGATATCATCATCAGCGATAAAGGTCCATTTTTATGGAATCTAAAATTCTTCTTCTATTTTTCAAATTAAAAAAATTTACAGACTTGCCAACTGTTGATACATGACTCTGCATGAAAATGAAGAAATAGCTGATGTATCTAAAAGGTCATTCCAAACTAGAATGCTCAACCACATATTTGAAAATTCTAATAAAACACCAGCATTATTAGCCTTCAATGAAAAGGAGAAAATAACAGAGGTATATCAAATTTTTGCAGTGGGGTTTAGTGTAAAGATCTAAATAATTATTTAGAAATGTAAAGCAAAATAAGAAAACTTGGATGAATAATGTTCCGGTTTTCCAAAACATTTGAATTTGAGTGCCAGCAAAACGTGATACTGGCTCGCTACTGGCAGTATTGGTTGACCTTTTTTTGATGTTGCTAATTTTTGCCCATAAGTCTTAAAAGCAACTATCAAGCCTATATATATTGATTATGATATAGTCACATAAAAATGTAACTATGTTATGTATTTTTTATTTACTTCACTATGTTATGTACTATTACTATAAGTACATAATAATAATATGAGTACTAATAAGAGGCAGATTAGAAGAGTAGACGGTACAGCCTGAAAATTTATACTCGGGCTTTACTAAATTATAATAAGCCCTATACGATTAATATTCGACTTATTCATAGTTCATCATATTATCCTTAACTAGACTAGTTTTTTTTACAGACTGCGTAAAACGACGACGACGTGTGTACGTTGACGCCGGCTACTTCCACCACACTCCCAGGCCAGGCATTCAAAACTTCTTATTAACTCACAAATGATTTGATTAAATTATTTTCAGATTACCAACAAATTAATAGCCTATAGACCAATATTGTTTTGCTATTAAGCCCATTTCATATCAATACCTTGGTTTATGAGATCTATGTTTACGTTAATGGTAACTAATTATTATAAATTTAAATTACCGGTATTAGCCTAGTAAAATGTTTATTTACTAAACTAACATGTGCGCTTAAAGTAGGCCAGATTTTTTTTATAGTCAAAAGTAATACAATTGAATTGTGTCATTTCAAAAATTAGGATCCCTAATTAGACAATAATAAATGTATAATACCATTTTCAAAATTAAGTCTATTCAATGATTTCAAAATTTGGAGACTAGACTTTAAAAAAAAAAGGTTGATTATTTTATTTTTACACGGTACTATTGATCTAGCATTTACTGACTATTACAGTCTGGCAAAAAAAAAAGTGTGGATATTTAGAAAAGAATAATCACTCGGAAAAGAAACAAAGGTTCAAGGACACGTTCAGTTCACACTCATCACTGTAAACATGTCTACCCCCACAAAAGCAGCTGAGCCCCAGCAAATGGGAAAAGGAATTAAATTTCTCTTTGGAGGAACTGCTGGGTAAGATTTTATTATATTAGGATTATTTCAAGGAAAATTTTTAATTCTAATCCAAAGGCCTATTTTTAATTTAAATACAGTATCAATAGAATAAGTAACCTCCGTTCAAGAGGCGGACTTCTTGCCCTTGGGCTTGGGCTTGGTTGGGCCTTGAGCTTGTGCCTTGTTGTAGACGTACACTCATATTATTAGTTAGACTGTGATACTCAATGATACTGTGAAGTGAATGTGAAGAGTTCCTTGAGAATCAGAATGAGATACTTGACTTTTTAATGGGTCTCTAACTCTACTGAACAAAATCAAAAATAAAATAACAAGGCCCTATCCTGCCCTATGCCTGCTGTGAATGTGAAGCTGTTCATTAAATTTAAATGTTATCATATTATATAGCCTTAAAATATCTATAAATATTTATGAAATATAAGGTGTCCTAACTTTGTGGGGGGGATCCTGGAACCTAATCGGTGTCGTGTAACAGTGTAACTGCAATAGACGAGGGAACACTGTAATACATTGTGTAGAGTGTGAGCACATAGTGCAAACCTATACAGCTTTACAGGCTATGCTATGTGTGAGTAGTTTGCTGTTGCAGTATTTTAACATATTTTTTAAAAAAAGACAATTTTTTATTAAAGGAAAAGATTTTTATATAATAATAATAAAAGAAAAATATTTAAAATATGCTGCAGTTCAACATCATGTCGAAAAGGATTAAGGGTTCAATCGAAATCAATGGAAGTTGCATTAGTTTTGCTGATTGTTATGATTATGAGCACATTTTTTTCATTAATAATTGATAGTCTTGATACATAAAATTTGTGCCAGATAGAAATAAATATGTAGTAGGAAGTAGGCCTACATTGCATAATACATAGGCAGTGTCTACACGTCCGGCGCGCCGGACGTATATCTCCCGCACAATTTGTCCGGCCACCAAGTCACATGACCGCCATAACAAAGTGGCGAGAGATATCTTGTCGGTCAGCCTTGTCACGTGACTGTGAATGATTCAAAACTATTAATTTTAAAATCTATTTCTCTACCAAGTAATGTACTGAGTATCTTGAATGCAAATAATAGAAAAAAACTTAAGTGAAAGTGGCTTGTAACATTTTGTTTAGTTTGTTATTTGAGTTTGTGTACCAGTAATCCATAAAATAAATTAGGGGCCAGTGTGGAGTAGGCAACCAATAAAAGTAAAAGATTTCATTTTAAATTGTTTAAATTGCTACAAAATATTTAAAAACTTCTCATGAAACTACTGTTGCTGATGAACATGATAATATAAATATAGTATAAAATATTTTTAATTAAAATGGGAAAAAAATTTATTTTGTATTGATCCTCAAATCATAACGACAAGCGACCACTCTACCACAAGACCACACAAGATCTACCAAATTATAATTCGTTCGGAATAATAACAACTATTAGCCATCCGGCGGTCACGTGACATGGCGCCGGACGTATAATTCGCGCACTATTTGTCCGGCGCGCCAGGCGTGTAGACACTTCGTAATACATATCATGAGGTGTTCCAATTAGTATCTATCTGTTTTACCTGAACAACAAAAAGAAGAATGAAAAAAAATTACCTGAACTCTAATCAGTAAAAAAAATATAAATGTTGGTATAGATTTATTAGTAGAGATAATTTTTTGCATAATTTTTATTAATGATACAGGCAGAGGGGTTAACCAAACTACAAATAAACAGCCAGTATAATTTCTATGCAATTACTTTTTAGAAATAAAGTAGAAAATTCATGAGCCAGGTCAAAATGATTACCCTGCACCCAGTATTTATTTACCCCTGCAGTTGCATGCTGTTTACTTTTTTTATCACAAAAATAATTCTGTACCCTTCATATCTTTAGCATGGCAGCCACAGTGTTTGTTCAGCCACTTGATCTTGTGAAAAATCGTATGCAACTTAGTGGTAAGCTGTCTTGATTTCTTGCACCAGTCTTGATTTTGATGCATAAATTTATCTATAAAAATTTTTCTTTGTTGTTTTCACTCGTGACTGAAAATTTTGTTCCCACACTATTTTACATAGGTTAGGATTTTTTAAGGTTAGGATTTTTAAAATTCTAATTTTCTGCCCACCACAAACAATATGTAATGATTAGAAATAGCTTCTGATTCTAACTCAGCTTAATCACCCTTAAAAGTTCATGCTAGTAATTTGGCAATAAGCTTCAAGAGATACCTCCTAAAACACCCTAAGGGTTTAAATATATTTTTCAAAGCTGAAATCATTTTATCACACCATTTCATAGAGAACTGTCAAGGAATAATTTGTGTTAAATGTTATTATAAGGATACAGAATTTTATTGGTTTATTTTGTTAAAAAGTCTTTTATATGCCCCCATAATTCAATGTACCATGACCTTTAGATACATCAGCCATTTCTTCATTTTCATGCAGAGTCATGTATCAACAGTTGGCTTTCACAAAAAGAGTCTCATCCAATCCAATATTTTTTTATAATACTATAGGCAAACACCTGTGCTCTTACATTAATTTCTCAAATGATTCCCTAATTTGAATTGCAAAGTAAGAATTATTCAGTCTTACAGGGAAACAAGCTAATTATCAGCTGACACATGAGCCATGTGCTAAAAATATTTAGTGAGCATAATCAAACAAATCATTTACACAATTAAGGACCCAGCAACCACTTACGATTATGAACTTGTTAAATGTAGTGGGGGTTTTTTTTGTGTTTTTTTTTTTTTTTGCGCTTCTGTGCATTCAGCTTCTTAACAAGTGAGAATCACTTATTAAATGTGGTGATATTTTTGCTTATCAATTTATTCATGCTACTTAACTTTATTTACTATTATAGTAATATTAAAATGTAGTGGGGGTTTTTTTTGTGTTTTTTTTTTTTTTTGCGCTTCTGTGCATTCAGCTTCTTAACAAGTGAGAATCACTTATTAAATGTGGTGATATTTTTGCTTATCAATGTATTCATGCTACTTAACTTTATTTACTATTATAGTAATATTCAACCCTTTTTTTTCCACCCCCCCTTCCTATTTCCTTTACATTTAATTATAATATTCTACCCAACCCGCTGCCTGAGAACCATTGATCCAGATAACTTGAAGAATATAAATATTTATAAACATTTTCATAAGGTTTAAGTTTTTAACAAAGCATTGCTAATGTTATAGTTTTATTTTAAAATAATTAATTCAAAATTGTATAAGCTTTGCAGTGAGTGTTTATTTTTGATTAAAAGTAGTTGTGGAACCAAAATAAAAGCAAAATAATAATCTTACAGATTTTTTTATCTTCATTTCTTTTAACTTTTAGGTGTGGGAGGTGCTAAAAAGCAATACAAGACCAGCTTTCACGCTCTTGCTTCTATCCTTAAGAATGAGGGAGTGTCAGGAATATACACAGGGTACTGTCAACTAATTAGTGGTCAAAATAATACAACTTTATCTTTTGGGTGGATCATGTAAGATTAATTTCCAAACGCTTAAGATAGTTTTGCACAGAAGATGGGAAGCCTCAATAGAGGTTTAATTTTCCCCTTACTTTCCCATGTTGTTTGTACTGACGAAGGCATTTGCCAAAAGATCTACATTTGTATTTTGTATGATCATTATTAAACCTGAACTTATATTCTTTTATTTACACAGATGGTTTGTGCCTAATTTATTTCCCATGCCAAGGTCAAGTGACATATTAGAAACAGGAATTATACATGTATTTATTCTTGTGTGCCACCTCAGGGTACTCATTAAACCCCAATTTTGCAGTAGATCTGTGCTGAAACCAATCATATTTTAAGTATTGTATAATCATTTCTTAAGCTTAGCTAATTACATTTATTTTATTCTATGTACATTTTACAGATTAAGTGCTGGTCTGCTACGTCAAGCCACATATACAACCACAAGGCTTGGCATCTACACATCTTTATTTGACATGTTGTCTAAGTGAGTTTACTTCACTCATTCACATTTTATTCAGCTGCATTGTGCAGCTGATTATAAAAATTGTATTATTATTAATTCACTATATTAGCTTTATAAAGCGAATCTTAAAATGTGACCTTTAATGTAGCAATAGTCATCCACGAAAATGTTTAAAAAATCCAGAAATCTATGTTGAATTGTTGTTAAAGCTGCAGCAGCTAAGATTATCAATTTTGTTTTATAAAAAGCTATCTGCACCCCCTTCTGTTACAGGGATGGTAAGCCTCCCAATTTCCTTGCTAAAGCTCTGATTGGTGTGACTGCTGGTGGAATTGGTGCTTTTGTGGGCACACCTGCAGAAGTTGCTCTCATTCGTATGACTGCTGATGGAAGGTAGGAATATTTTTTTGACTTGCCAAGTGTTCAATCTTCTTTTATATTGAAATAATTGACATTAAATTAATTTTTTTAATGCAGAACAGTTCACCTTATTTTATTCATGGGAAGTTTTTTCTCTCCTATTTTTTTTTAAAGGAGCATGGCCACTTTAAATTTCTTATTATTGATTGATTGATTTATTTAGTTAGAGATGTTTGTTTACAAGTTTTAGATGTGATCTTACATGTGCTGAAATATTAGAGGTCTCATGGTTTAATGACCCTAGAAGATAATTTTTACAAGGCCTAAAATTTTAACAAATTCCTTGAAATTGAGGTGTTTCATTTTTAACAATTTACTTCACATTTTTTATTTAAAGAAAAGTAGTTACTGAAAAAGGTATTAGCAATACAACTGATGCCCTTGAGTTTTAAGTGTGGTCACTCTGTTGCAGGCTACCTTTAGAGGAAAGGAGAGGTTATAAGAATGTGTTCAATGCCTTGTCTAGGATTGTTCAGGAAGAAGGGGTCCTCACCTTGTGGAGAGTAAGTGACGTGTCATTTCACTAACATGTTTCAACTTACCATTTGTTTTTTAGAAAATGGTTATTAAAAAGCAGCTGTCTACTTGAGTAAACTGAAATGCTTGCCTGATTTTAACCCTTGTTTGATTTTCAGGGATGCGTACCCACTGTTGGCAGAGCCATGGTGGTGAATGCTGCACAACTAGCCTCATATTCGCAAGCCAAACAGATCCTAGTTTCCACAGGTGAGTCTAGATTAAAAAAGAACAAGTGAATCTTTTATCATATAAATCAATAGCTGTGTATCCTAAAACGATGCTACAAGAGAATATGGCCCAATTCAGAATGGGAATTGTTTTCTTCCTTTTTTGCCCACAGTGAAATGTCGCATATTTTTACATTTAAAAATAATTCTCATGGTAATTAAGAAACCACCAACGTTTATATATGGACTAAAATAATATTTTTTAAAAATGTTAAACTTCCGGGGATATTTTCTATATGATTGTTAAAAAATTAATTTATACAAATAATTGATATAGAAGCTTTCATTGGCTAATCAAATCAACAGTGTGAAAATGTAGAAAAATATAAAGTGAATACAAGGGTAGTTTGGCCAAGTGATGTCACTGCCAGAAATAGGTTATTTTTTTAAATTTTAAGATAAATTTATTTCACATTGTATGAAAAATAAGCATATTCTTCCCATTTGTAATGATTTGTTTTCTCAACTATTCCATCACAATACATTATTTTATTCTGTTCCCATTGACATTAAACTAACTCAGTGTTTAACTATTTTGACTTTCAAACTTAAATAAGAGGATGAATGTGATGATAGTAGTTTGCAAAGTTTTTCTAAAGAAAGTTTCTCACACTTTTTATGTGAGTACTAATGTTGATATTCTCTTGGTTCTTTTAATTTTGGTTAAATTTTTTAAAAATTGAAACTTGCACAAAAAAATTTTATTACCTCTTTTTGAAGTTGTGTAAAATCCCATATAAATAACATAAAACAGGGGTTCTTAACCTTTTATAATCCATAGGCCTCTGCCAGTCACTGACACCTTCTTGGAAATGTTTTTAAATGCATATAATAAAATTACAATGGCAACGGAACTCTTTCTTGTTAAAAAAATACTTATTACATAAAATTTGATTGAGGCATAATGAAAAATTACCAAAAATATTATCTGCTTATTGCATTCTTTAATGAATTTTGTAGGTACATGATGTAACTCTTAATTTTAGTAACTTTTAACACAATTGAGTCTTTTGATAATTGGCTGGGATGAGAGACATCTTCCTCTCCGTTACATTCAATGGTTTTTCAGCATTACGCAGAGATGAACTGTATTGAAAAATTATTTCTCAAATTTCCTACAAATATTGTCTTTCCCTGTTCCATTTCCTGAATCTGACATGCTGGGACGTTCCCAGTTCCAATGCCTGCTTGTACCTTTTTTTAGATATCATGTTTGGCGTTTATTAAAAAAAATTAATTCAGTGCAACATGTTTTCTCTCCATTCAATAATAAAAGGTTACTTTCACGACGGCCTCTTCCTTCATTTTGTTGCCAGTATGATTAGTGGTCTTATAACAACGGCAGCGTCCATGCCGGTTGACATTGCCAAGACGAGGTAAGTGCATAATTGAAGACCTCTTTAGTCAAATTAATACAATGTTCTGGATCTCGTGCTGGGCATTAATCTGGTGGGCATTTTATCTCTCATACATGTTTTATTCGAGATGTTGATTATCAGCTTTAATTTTAGATGTTAATTGTTTTAAGTCATTTTTGTATTTGTAACAAAGAAATTCACCTTCTGACTGTTTTTTATTTTACAATAATTTATTATATTTATAATCAATAATACAGCAAATTATACTGTAATTGATGGGTCCATTATTTTATTTCATTACATTTCTCAAATCCAAGTTTGTAATTAAAGTGTTGTCCTTCCCACAGAATACAAAATATGAAGACTGTAAATGGCAAGCCAGAATATTCAGGAGCCCTTGTAAGTACATTTCATTTGTGCGGTTACTTGATTTATTACCTATATCTGTTTTTAGATATTTTGCAGAGGCAAGTTATAGCCATATAAAAAATAATCTACATTTTTTAAAAACAATTCCTACAATGGTCATTTGTCATTCATTTTTAATAACAAAGGTGTTTATAGAAATTATAATACATTTTAAAGTGATTTTTACTGCTTTGTTCATCATAAAATATTTCTATTTGCGAGACTCTTTGTTTTACATAATCTACAAATCTAAATCATATTGACTTTGTAAAAGTTCACAACAGATCTCTTGAAGATAAATTACTTTTATATGAATTTACAGGATGTCTTGACAAAAACTATACGTCAGGAAGGATTCTTTAGCTTATGGAAAGGTTTCACCCCGTATTATGCAAGGCTGGGCCCCCACACTGTGCTGACATTTATCTTCCTTGAGCAGATGAACAAAGCCTATCGTCACTATGTGCTCCATGATGATTCAGCAAGTGGGGGATTATAGTCCATCCCACTAGAAAATTAGTTGAGATTAAATAATTTCATAATAGATATTGGCGGAAGGCTGAAACTAATTTAAATATGTGCTAAAGAGTTTCGATAGTTGAACCTAAGCGCTTTACATTGACAAAGGGCTTGTTTTGATTTGAATGTGTGTTGAAACTGTTTAAATGTTTGGTTGACATGACGTTGACCACACAGTGTAAGCCAAGAATGGCCCAATGTATTATTTATGACTTTGAAATGATAAGAGCATAGACTTTGCTTGTAATAGAGGGAGAGCCTGTAGACTTTGCTTGTAATAGAGGGAGAGCCTGTAGACTTTGCCTGTAATAGAGGGAGAGCCTGTAGACTTTGCTTGTAATAGAGGGAGAGCCTGTAGACTTTGCCTGTAATAGAGGGAGAGCCTGTAGACTTTGCTTGTAATAGAGGGAGAGCCTGTAGACTTTGCCTGTAATAGAGGGAGAGCCTGTAATAGAGGAAGAGCCTGTACCTCTAATAGTTGAGTAATGTAAATCTATTCAAATAATTGTTAATTTTTGAAATAACTAATAGATTTGTTGAATATAGAGTTTACTGCCATAACTTGTGCTGTTTTGAGGAGCTGTGATAAATATAGAGGGGGGGGGGGGAGCTTCTGGTTATTATCCTCAGTGACAGGTCACTGCAGCAACCCTTTAATGGAAATTTTGTTGAGTGTAAATGGATTATTTTTCTTGTTCCATTCTGTTCTTCTTATGGTCCTGGCGGAAGGTTCCAAAGCATAATTTTTGTGAACACCCATCTCCCCTTAAGGTCCCAAATATCTCCTTCTAGTTAAGGTCCCTGGAGTTCCTAGATAAACTAGAGCAAGAATTATTTATAGTTGGTCTACTGCAATCAGCATGATAAATTTAATGAAAAGAATAAAAAATAAGTTTGTTTCTTCGTTGTGGTAGCTTTTGACTTGTGTGAATAGCAGGAAAATGTAATTCATGGAGCTCGTAATTAATGGTTGGGTTTAAAAAAACTCCAATCCAGTGGATCTCATAATTGTGTGGTAAATTTTGACTAGTGAGAATAACAGGAACTAATTTTTAGATTTCTTCTGGTGAGACTGGAATAAGCTATGACTGTTAAGGTGATTGAATCTCTGTCTTCTATTTCATATATATGTTGATTGTGCACTGTGCAGTCATGACTTTTTGACAAATTGAAGCCATTTCAGGGGGGGGGGGGGGGGAGAATAAAGAAAAATTTAAATCCTGTCCTTGATTGTTCAATGATGAAAGCTGTTAGTATTTATAAATTATAGAAGTTATTGCCAACTGACTGGATTTCAACCTGCTACATTGAAATAAATTGGGTCAGTTCTTTTTACATTTGGGGGTTGTAGTTAAAGGTTGTGATTTTTTTTTTTGTGGAGTCTTAATCTTCATTTAGTTGATGATAACTACATTTCTATGTCTCATTTCTCTATACACCCCACTCCCAAATCCTTTTAGATTTTAGTAAATTTAAACTGACTATTTATTTTAGCAGCGTTATTTGCTGCTTCTTCTAGTGTTTGTGTCTATTTTTTAAATTAACGCATGCACTATATTTTTTTTTTGCATCTATTATATCACCAAGGCAGTTGTGTGACTGATGTTGGTAATGGAAACAGATGGGGATAGATATCTTATAGATCTTTAACCTCAATTGATCAGGCCGTTAGGAATTGGATTTAATAAATAATTCATCAGGACATGAGTTCAATCTGATCTGCAAAGTTTGATATTAAAATAGATAAACAAGTACTGGTATTACTGCTATGGTAAATAATTGAAATTTCTTTTAGTTTTGTTGTTGGTAGGCCTTCTTGTTCTCCTTTCAGGTCAAGACTTGTTTGATCTTTATTAGATTCACATTATTCCCCCCCCCCCCTTTTGGTTTCTGTGCCCAAGAATTTTTTTCATCACTGTATTGCTATCATTTTAGACCAGTGTTTCCCGAAGTGTGTTACGTGTACCCCTGGGGGTACGGGAAGAGTTTGGTGGGAGTACGCACTGCAAAGGAAAAAAAAAAATTTTTATGAAAGTTTATGCAATTTTTTTTTAACGAGGGATACTGAGTGTTAAAAACATTTTAGACAGGTACATAGATGTCGAAAATTTGGGAAACACTGATTTAGACCATGATTATTTCAAATAATTATAGATGCAACCTCAAATAAACGTCTGTACTTCAGGTCGGTACACATTTAAAATGAATTGTGTATTGAGATTTCCACTTTGACCATCTTCCCTTGATTGCACAAATAGACTATCAAATTGTCACCCCCACCCCACTTCTTTTTGCTGTTATTGCTGACCTAACACTAATGAGGGGAAGTTTATGAACGCCAAACTGAGAAGTAAAAACCACATATTGTTTTCAGACAAATTGTTTGTTCTGTGTGCCATATTGTGTTTAGATCTGACATGTGCAAGCAAACCTTTAATTCAAGGCTCACCTCAGATTGTAGGGGGGGGGGGGGCCTGTTAAGACTTACGTCAGATAAATTAAACCGCCTCATTGAACTAGGGCCATTGTTGAAATTTTCCCTTTCTCTCAATCTAATGTAATTTGTCTTGGACACTGTTTTTTTTCCATTAAACCTTTAATTCCAGGCTCACCACGGATTGTAGGGGGGGGGGGGGCCTGTTAAGACTTACGTCAGATAAATTAAACCGCCTCATTGAACTAGGGCCATTGTTGAAATTTTCCCTTTCTCTCAATCTAATGTAATTTGGCTTGGACACTGTTTATTTTCCATTACTTCAACTCGAATATGAAGTATGGGTTGTTGCATAATAATAGTAGGAACATATTGTCTCATGAAATCAATTAGTGTGTCATAAAATATTTATTTTGATGGAAGGTTTGTACCATTCACATATCTTTTGGCTTAGTCTGACTCAGAAAAATGGCTTTATTCTCTATTTATTGATAGCATATTGAAACTTTTTATGCTTTTAAATCTGAGACTCCTCATGAAGATTCAGGTCATATTTTGTTCCTAATTGATTGATGCTTACGTTGGGGGGGGGGGTTCTTTTCTGTGTTAACCAGAGCTTTACTATCTTTACATCTGAATGGTGGGTCACTAGAGACGTGAGTGTCTTGATACAAAATAATACAATATGGTCAACTATTGACTTGATGACCAAGCTGTCACTGTAGCAAGCGAAGTGTGATCAACCGAAGGATAACTTGTTAGTGGTCATAATACATTTGATATCTTTTTAAATCTATACATTTTTTTTTTGAGGATTTGTTTAATCTCAACGTTGAACGCATAATTTGTTTTGACTGATGGTGGATGAAGTTGTGTGATAAAACTGTCACTTTTTACATTTAACAGAGGTTGTTTTTTTTTAAATATTTTTTTTATTTGTTTTCTTTTAAGTCTGTCTGAATGTGTTCATATTTCAAAAGAAAATTATTTATGGATTGAAAATAAAATTTGTCGGGTCTAGTGATTCATTTAATAAACATTTGATTAAGTGTTTTCATTCTTAACCCTGAGTATCAAATTTGGTTTTCTACACTCTTAGCAAATTTTGTGTGGTTTTTCTTAACGCTGATTATTCAACTTGGTTCAAGTTTCTGTTGTAATCCAAGACAGAAATCTATTTGAAAGCACAATGATTTATTAATAGATATTTATGAAAAAAAAGATATTCACATTTTTCTACACTAAAAGTGTTCATTTTCTTGAATGAAGGTTATGAAATAAATGCTGGCATCAGACCTGTGGTAATGATCTCCCTCCTTGAGTGTCTCTAGACTCTATTGCAATATAGTGCAATGTTATTTAGCTGCATTGCATGACAACAGTACAGACCAGTGGGGATGACATCACACCTGTGGTCATGATCTGCCTACTTATAATGTCTCTATTGTCATTTTATTTAGCTACATTGAATGACAACAGGACAGACTAATCTGAATGGCTTACCACTAATAGTGTTGTTGACATTGTACATTGAATAGCATTTGATCAAAACTGTCAAATGGCTTGGTCCATGTAACTACATTTATGATAAGTGGTGGGAATTGTAATAGTGTTTGTGTAATCCATGCTGTGAAAGAGATGTGTTGGGGTTGTCCACCCTGTGTGTTGGGGTTGTCCACCCTGTGTAATAGATGGAGTAGGTTGTGGTGGGGTGTTGCACCCTCGGTAGTGTTAGGCACCTGATATCTCTTGTTGACATCTTTAAACAAAATAAGCCCACTCTCCCTTTGTTGCAAAACAATGAACAAAATTACGTGTTGATTTCATGTGATCTCCTTGTTAATGTCATCTCCTTGTTAATGTCATCTCCTTGTTAATGTGATCTCCTTGTTCACGTGATCTCCTTGTTCAAGTGATCTCCTTGTTCAAGTGATCTCCTTGTTCAAGTGATCTCCTTGTTCAAGTGATCTCCTTGTTAATGTGATCGCCTTGTTAATGTGATCTCCTTGTTAATGTGATCGCCTTGTTAATGTGATCTCCTTGTTAATGTGATCGCCTTGTTAATGTGATCTCCTTGTTAATGTGATCGCCTTGTTCAAGTGATCGCCTTGTTCATGTGATCTTCTTGTTAATATGATCACCTTGTTCAAGAGATCAGAATTTAAAGCACACTGATACAGATACAATTAAATAAATAGTGGAACAAGATGTGTTAGAAAAGACAGGTCAACTAATATTATGTTTTGGCTAGAAGCCTTCATCGGCAGACGTTACATACATGAAACAACAGTTAATTCAAAACTTATGGGTTCCTAAATCTCATTAAGTCAATGTAGATGAAAGTTCGAAAGCGCTCTATATTAGCCTTGATACATTTAACTTACTTATGCCTTTTACTCCGCCAGGAGCATAAGTTGCCTTCATAATACCCTTCATCTCGGCCTTGTACTTTTCTTTCAGGGTGTATCTGCCTCTAGCTGGCGTCTCTGTGTATTCTTAGGCCTTCCTCTCTTCCTTTTTCCCTGTGGAATCTATGTTTGTCTGATGATGTTATGTGACGGTTTACGAAGAGTGTATCCTATCCACCTCCACCGTTTTCTGGTGATGTTTTCAGCAATTAATCTTTGTATGTCTTTTCCAGTAAGTCTTTGTAGTGATGGTGTTTGGCAATTTGATGTTCAGGATCTTTCTAAGCAAAGTATTTATGTCTTACATACATTATTAAGACAGTTTCTATTCATTCAGGTGTTATTTGAATATTTAAGGAAAAAAACCATCTAGCAAGTGTTGTTTTTTTCCCATTAGAAATAATGTACAGCACACACGAGAAGAGCAGCTTTACTTATGACACGAGAAGAGCAGCTTTACTTATGCTGTCCTACATCGTTACCATGTTTTTCTACAAATAATAAACTTAAACAAATATAACATTTGGTATAAAAAAAAACTGTACAAAGGCCTTGTATTGGCTTTCTTGGGGGCTAAGCATCCAATAGGGATACTTAAACAGTAAAATATATGACACATGCAGTAGCAAAGAATAAACATGTCAAGATTTTAAATTTAAAAAAAAAAAAAATTAAAACCTTCACTTTTTAAACTTTAAAAAAAAAAAAAAAAATATCATACACATATCAACTAAGAACATCAACTCGGGCGATTTAAAAATGGGAGCAAGAGCTCCTCGAAAACTTTTCGTTTCATAAATAAAAGAATAAACATGTCAAGATTTTAAATTTAAAAAAAAAAAAAATTAAAACCTTCACTTTTTAAACTTTAAAAAAAAAAAAAAATATCATACACATATCAACTAAGAACATCAACTCGGGCGATTTAAAAATGGGAGCAAGAGCTCCTCGAAAACTTTTCGTTTCATAAATATGACTAGAACATTCAGGATTTTTGAAGTATAAGCCTAAAAATAGTGACTCGTGGTAAAATAAGCAATAGGCTTAAACACGTCCAGCCATTCAAATCAGTTGGTCCCCCTCGTATTGTATTCATTCATCATGGTATTAACCCCATTAATATTGGAGATGTATGTCATTCAGTGGCGTAGCTAGGTTTGGTGTCAACCGACTTCCACGATGGATTTCTTCTGGCTAAAATAAGTCTACCGTAAAACCATGACAAGAACAAAAACAAATTACGGTAATTGAAGTTCGGGGTTAAAGGTATTTAAGAACTGTACTGTAACGTGTACTTAGAATCGCCCGACCACGTTATTTGGTGTTAATGGAAAGCTTTCTCAGAATTTAGATAAATATAGCTTTCTGCCACTTAATAAATTATCAACCTTGAAATTTGAATAAGCACGCATTTGGAGTGGTTACATGTTTTGAACATTTACAAGTGATCGGTTGTACTTTTATGAAATTCAGTTAGACCTAGCAGTGTGTGCCATGTAAATGTGCAAGTTTTAAATTTGGTGTCACCCCTTGAGATCGTATCACCCGGTATGGTCCGCCGCCCCCCCCCCCCCCCCCCCCCCCCCCCCCCGCCCCGCTAAGCCACTGGTGTCATTTTTGAACTTGTGGTAAGTTAAAATAATATAATAAATGTTTTTAAAAGAACTGCTGTTTCACTATTTAAAAAAAAAATTAATTTAAAAAAAACAATGTATTTATGAGTTACGGTATGTGTTCTTATATCGTATAGATGGATCTGTTTTAATTATTTCAATCCTTGGATTTGGATTGTTGATGAAACTGAATTTCTCTATCGCCTTTAACAAAAAAACAAAAAAATATTGTCATGCATGCTGATGGGGAGAAAATTAAGAAATCATCTTAAAATACTTACATTGTCAACAACAACAAAAAGTTAGCTGTCAGTGTTATTTGTACGATAAGAAAAAAACAACTAAAGTTTAAGGGAAAAACTAAGACCAAGCATTGATCACAAAGCGGATGTCTGATAAATAATTGCTCAACTTTAGAGTAAATGAAGTAATAATTATATAACTTTTATAATTGTTATTTATAAGTCGGGTTGTAAAAAAAAAAAAGTTGTCTTTTTACACCAATAAAACTCGTGTCAGACTTTTGATGCTCGCAACCACCAAGCCAGCGCCTAGTACAGTGAATATTCCACCGGCCACGTATAAGGCAAAGGAATAATGGAGGTCATAGTTGAACTTGAGGTCAGAGGGCATCTTCCGCTTGGTCTCTACACCAAACACAATGCTGGCTATGACAGTCACGATAACTGAAATTTTGAAAGTTCTACGTCATTAAACAACGTTTTATTCGGAACAACTTACTTTTAAACAATCAATTTTATTGATGCTTTGGAAATAAAATCTGGCCCTATCCTATTTGCGACTTGCCAGAATGAGAATGTTTCTGTCCAAACTTGCTGAAAATCCCTAATGAAAGCTATGTCTCAACTGATTCGATCTTTTAGCTTCTTATGTGTTAAACCTAACCCTAACTCATTTAAATTTACCTTTAATATGTCTTCACATTTAAGCATCCTAACCAAATTTATAGCATAATAATTTTGACTAGTGAATTAATTTGATGAATTTTTCGTGTTAAACGCTACCCGAGGCCGAGGGCTTCTATATTCAGCTTTTAAGAATCAAAAGGTGTGTCTTTGGTTACAAGAAGCAGAACAAGTAAATGGGGGATCAAACTTTTTTTTTTAGTTGTAGCTTTCATTCTTTATATATATTATTATTTTTTTTTTTTTTTAAATTGTGAATCCCTGAAATCCCACATCCAGTGATTATTTCAGAAATTTTCCCGGGGGGGGGTCACTTCAGATTTTTTTTTTGGGGGGGGGGGGGGGGGGAGGTTTAGGGGGGGGAGGCAGTTTTAGAGTCCACCCATAAATGACGTCACACTATTATCCATAAATTCGACCTCCCACAATCTACACACAACTGTCGCACAATTTAGACACACTTTTTTTTTAGTGTAGGTCATCACAAATTCGTGACACCCCCTTCCCTCCTAGATGTGTGACGTCATTTAAGGATGCTCTTTAATGTTGTTGTTGTTTGTTTTTTTTTTAATTTGTTGATTACATATTTGTCTATTAAGACTATCGTAACTAAAATCTTGACATCATCCTAAAAAGACTAAGAAATCATTACCCTGTCTGATTCCCGCCCTTTTAAAGGATCAACTTACTAACAACAGCTTTACGAGCGCTGCATGCACGCCTCCCCACGTCTCATGAAAAAGAGAAAGTACAACGTCCTAAACTCCCCTTAAATTAACTTCATTAACAGGTTTTTTGTTGTTTTTTTTTTAAATCTGAGCCTACTGACCTGCAAGGATAGCCACACCAACACAAATGATGACGACAACTTTGTTGATGTTCTCCGTTCTGACCACGTGCCACGTGTGAACACAACACGTGATGAAAGAGACGAGCAGCATGGCCGCCGTGAGCACTGACATAACTCTCACTGCTTGAAGGGAATCTGCAGAAAAAACCATTCCTAAAATTGATTGATTGGAAGCGAGTTTTGAGCTATAACTCACTAGCGCATGATCGAATAATTTTTGTTGTTGAAAAATATGATGACAAGATTACAGAGTTGAAGGTGGGATTTTTAAAAAAAATGTTTGGAGTAGGTGCATTTTCGGCAAATGCAGAGTTTTCTTCGTAAAAGGAGTGGCAAAAAGCTTGGTCCGCCCCGGATGACACCAACCCTAGCTACGCCTCTGCTTATTAGTCTTTTCAAATATCTTTAAATATAACTTTTCCATTTCATAACAATAATGGTGATTGCTTTTTGCCCAGCACCATTGACCTATATAATTAACAATAGTTGGAATTTAAAAAAAAAAAAAAAAAAAAAAAAAATAATTCCTTCCTTTCATGGTCCCGCTATAGATTATTTCCTCTGTTATTATTATGGCCTACCACCATTATGATAGTCAACATTTATGCAATTTAAAGAAAAAATAATAATAAGTTCAACATTGTATATGAAGTGAGAATGAGTAAAATTTAGAGTGGTATCCACTTCATGGGGGTTCTGAGGAGAGGATGGTGTTAAAATAGCGTTGTTAATCGTATTTGGCGATTTACCAGGACTTTCCTTCGGTAGGATGCTACGGCAGTCATGCAATGATTTTGTACTGGACTGGCTTGTGAAAGAACCGCAATACATGAAGAGTCCAACGAGGACATTGGGTGTGGAGAGCCAGCCGGGCGTTGCTATGGCAACAATCTGAAAAAAATAAATTCAAGAAAAAGATAGAAAGATATATCTTGCCTAATTATAACGCCGCCATGGCCTGGTCCCAAGCACGAGGCCAACTACCTCACCCGAAAAAAGAACACCAAAGTGCTACAGAAACGTCAAGAAGAAGAACACACACACACAAAAAAAACTAACTATTTTCAGCCCTGAAAAGTTATGAAGCCTTGCGGCAAAACCCATGCTATACTGGAAGTCTTTCAAAGGCAATAAATCAATAAACCTAGGCCCGTGGAATGTTAGAACTAGGCATGAAACAAGGAAATCAGCACAAGTGGCGGCAGATATGAGATCAAACAAACTCACACTTCTCGGCATCTGAGAAACAAGACGGACAGAAGCTGGAGATTTAACGTTGGCCTCGGGAGTAACACTAATATACTCCGGGCATGAGGAGGAAAATGCTTCCCACTCACAAGGAGTCGCTTTCGTGAAATTAATTGCACAATGGACATTAATAGGATGGGAAGCCCATGGTCCAAGAATTATTACAGCAACTTTCCGAACCAAAAAGAAGAAAATAATTTAATTATGAATGTAGAACAGTGCTATGCATCCACCAGAAAGATAGTAAGGAAGATGAAAAAGAAACGTCCTACAATAGAATACAAGCTTTACTAAACAAATTTCAAGGTAGAGACCTCAATGGGAGTTGTAAATGCTAAGTTTTGGAAAGAAAATAGAGAATTACAACAACAAAAAATATGGGGCGCCAAGGTATAGGAGAGAGAAAAGAAAGCGGTGAAAGACTGGCATACTTCTATGTGGCAAATGAACTCGTCATTTTGGGGCAGCGTATTCCAGAATAACAAAATCGACAGGGTATACACTTTGGTGTCCCCTCATAACAGATCAGAAAACCTCATTGTTCCCATATGCATTAGCAAAAAACTCAACAAGTCTTTACAAGATGTGCGAGCTAAAAGAGGAGCTGATTTCGCATCTCATCATCATCACGTTTTGGTGAGTTAAAACTGAATAAAAACTGGGAAGAGCCAATATAACATAGCAGATCTGGCAGACGAGTGGAAACGACAGGAATTCATTGCTACCTTGAGAAAGAAGTTCCAGGTACTGCAAGACCAAACAGATGATGACCAGACAGAACTTCAATGGCAAAATATGAGATGTCTCAAAACGTTGCCAAAAATAAAGGGGGGGGGGAGAGAAAGGGGGGTGGGGGTGGGGGGAGAAATGAAGTAGGTAAAAAAAAACACTACGGCATGCAGAGAAAACACATGTACAAGAGAAATATACAGAATCCAATGGAACGTTAAGGAAATGTATTAAAAAGGATAAAAGAGCTGACATGAATGGTGTGGCAGTCAACAGCCAAAGAAGCAGCCAGAAAGCGGAACATAAAAATCTCTATTACATAACAAGAAAGCTCTCAAGAAGATACAAAAACCAACAGAGACAAAGAAACTAAAGGTAGATCAATGACGGAACGGAACGATCAACAACAAGATGGGTGGAAGACTAAAAAAGGAATTACTAAACAGACCTCCACCCACAGACACACTGGATACGCAACCAGAAGATGAAAAAGAAGACAGTGCCCAAAATAGTGCCCAAAACAGTGCCCAAAATAATGCCCGAAATAGTGCCCAAAACAGTGCCCAAAACAGTGCCCAAAATAGTGCCCAAAAAGCCCAGGCGTTGAGGCAGCTTAAACTTGAGGAGCGTATTTGGACCTGATAACACCCCAAGAGAATTGATGAGAACAGATCTAGATACAATAGTCATCATGCTGCACCCTCTGTTTGAAAAGATATGGGAAGAAGAGAGAGTTCCAGATGAATGGAAAGAAGGAGATCTCGTCAAGATAATAGCAAAAAAATGGGGATCTCAGCAACTGTGCAAATTACAGATGAATTACACTGCTGACAGTACAAGGAAAGGGTCTTTAACAGAGTTATTTTGAATAGAATGAAGGACCAAGTCGACACGCAGCTATGAGATCAACAGGCTGGCTTCCCCTGAAATAGATAATGCAGAGATCAAGTTGCAACACAACGAATCATTGTAGACAGGTCCATCAAATGGACCCCCCCACCCCCCATAATATATCATTTTATTGTCTGGAAAAAAGACATTTGAAAGCCTGCACCACCAAATCTTTTAGAAACTTCTTCAGCATTATGGTGTACCAGGAAACATGTCACGATCATTCTGAGTTGTTCTGTAGAAATGACAAGCAGGGTGGTACATGAAGATAGACCCACAGATGCCTTTAACGTGGAAACAAGATTCAGACAATGATGTCTCTTGTCCCTCTTCCTATATTAATACTTGCCATTGACTGGATAATGAAAGAATCCACGGAGAAAAAAAGGACACCCTGGGAACAACTGGATGACCTAGTCCTTGTAGATGATATTGCACTTTTGTCCCACAACCAGCAAAAAATTCAGTGAAAGACAAAAAAAATGTAGCCAGCATTTCAGCACAGCTCGGGCTAAAAATAAATAACAGCAAGACTAAGAAAATGAAGATAAACTCAACTAACTCAGAACATATCTACTTAGTAGGAAGTATGCTGGAAAAGTGGAGGCGTATTTATTTGTAGCACGATTGACATTAATGGTGAACCCTAATTTGATGTCAGGGCTACAAATGGAAAGACTAGGTTATCACGTGTGCTATTAAAGACAATATGGGAGTCAATGGAGCCGACACAAAAGTCAAAACAGTCCCACTGAATGGAGCCGAAATTGGAGAAGAACGAGCATCACGCAGAAAGTACAGACCTTTGTAAACACTTGCCTTATAAAGATCCTGAACATCAAATGGCTAAACATCATCCACACCAACAAAATGCCAAACATCATTACAAACAAAGAGTTACTATAAAGGACATACCAGGAGGCTATTGCTGAAAACATCATAAGGTAAAGATGGAGGTGGATAGGGAAAAATTTCGTCAATGTCCAAATAAAATCTACAGATAATCCCTAACATAGATTTCACTGGGAAAAAGAAAGAGGAGAAAGCCCAAGAATACATGGAGACGCGAGCTAGAGGCAGACACACAAAGTATAGGACACACCTGGAAGCAACTGGAAAGGAAAGCACAAGACCATGATGAATGGAAAAACTCTTGTTGGTGGTATATGCCCCAGGCGGTACAAAAGTAAGTAAGTAAATGTGTTAAATTTAGGGTATTTTGGTAATTGGTTTAATACGGAACACAAGAGAAGCTTGTGTAACCGTTTACTCGGTGCAGTGCCATTTAATAACCAGATTGTAGATTATGAAATGGGTGGGTGGGTAGTTGGGGCGGGGGGAATAGACTGACTAGGGAAATCTGTGCATCAGTCAATTATGGATTACCTATCCTTTTTAAATGAAGTAATCTCTAACCAACTAATTGAAATAATCTCTAAACAACTAAATGAAGTCATCTCTTACCTACTAAATGAAGTAATCTCTAACAAACTAAATGAAGTAATCTCTAACCAACTAAATGAAGTAATCTCTAACCAACTAAATGAAGTAGACTCTAGCCAACTAAATGAAGTAATCTCTAACAAACTAAATGAAGTAGACTCTAGCCAACTAAATGAAGTAATCTCTAACAAACTAAATGAAGAAATCTCTAACCAACTAAATGAAGTAATCTCTAACCAACTGAATGAAGTAATCTCTAGCCTACTAAATGAAGTAATCTCTAACCAACTAAATGAAGTAATCTCTAACCAACTAAATGGAGTAATCTCTAAACAACTAAATGAAATAATCTCTAACCTACTAAATGAAGTAATCTCTAACCTACTAAATGAAGTAATCTCTAACAAACAAAATGAAGTAATCTCTAACCTACTAAATGAAGTTATCTCTAACCTACTAAATGAAGTAAACTCTAACCAACTAAATGAAGTAATCTCTAAAAACTAAATGAAATAATCTCTAACCTACTAAATGAAGTAATCTCTAACCAACTAAATGAAGTAATCTCTAACCTACTAAATGAAGTAATCTCTAACAAACTAAATGAAGTAATCTCTAACCAACTAAATGAAGTAATCTCTAACCAACTAACTGAAGTAATCTCTAACCAACTAAATGAAGTAAACTCTAACCAACTAAATAAAGTAATCTCTAACCAACTAAATGAAGTATTCTCTAACCAACTAACTGAAGTAATCTCTAACCAACTAACTGAAGTAATCTCTAACCAAATAAATGAAGTAATCTCTAAGCAACTAACTGAAGTAATCTCTAACCATATTAAAAAATAAGATTAACTGCTCGTCCCGAGATGCGTTTTTTTAAGGCTGGTGAGAGTTTGTGAGCGAGGGGGGGGGGGGGAGGGGGGCATTTTCAGTCCTTTTAATATACTTTATATAGTTAATTGTACTTTTTACGTAATATTTTTAAATTTTAGTTAACGTTCTTTAAAAGTGTGTGTGAGGGGGGGGGGGTCTGGATTATGGAAGAATGTCAACTTCTAACTTGTTCAGTTCTAACTTGTTCAGTTCTAACTTGTTCAGTTCTAACTTGTTCAGTTCTAACTTGTTCAGTTCTAACTTGTTCAGTTCTAACTTGTTCAGTTCTAACTTGTTCAGTTCTAACTTGTTCAGTTCTAACGTGCAGTTAACGCCTGCAAGTTAACAACTGTTCCAACATAAAAATAAACCAAGTGACATCCAGTTTTGAACAACGGTCAAGTGATATCTATACAGAGTGCGGTAAGTTCAAGTACGTAAAGTAATAACGATTACCGTACCAATGTTATGCATTCTCCAGTTTCCTCATTTCGTTATTTTAAAAAAAAAGTAAGTATTGTATTACTAATAATAAATATACATTTAATATTTGTTTATAACTGTATTTATTAATTTATTTTAAATATTAATGTATATATATATATATAATATATATATATATATAACCAATTTATGATCAACCGGTTATATGTTTCAAAATAAAAACAGGAAAATCGACTTTCGTTTAATATCCTCACTTCTAATTCACCCACTATGATCTATTGAAGCGATAGCGCCAAAATTGTGGAACAGTTTGCCTCACAATTTGAGTGGAATCGAAAATGTTAAAAAAATAATTTAAGATACCTTTTAAGACATTTTTTTGTTTAAATAGATTTAATAAAATCAGAGCGCAGTGAGCATGCTAAAGTGGCATGGATACCAGCGCTATATAAATATCCAATCAATCAATCAATCAATCTGCACGGGCAAAAGCAAGCTATTGACAACGGTCCTGCAGATACCGATAGACGCCTTAGGCAAGATGGTCGACTCAGTTGATGGATTGCAGGAAGAGACCAGTTAACATGCCAGCGATAGTGAAAGGGCGCCATCTGCTTTTAGTTGCATTACACACAAGGCGTTGTTGGCCACGGATGTGACAAGAATGTTGGACTTTTTCTGAAACAGTAGCAAACAAACGCTACGAAATTTCAAACGCCCATGTAAACTGATTTGACCTCAGAATTGCTTTAGCCATATTAAATTTACCCCAACCATGACCTTAATTTATGATGACCTAGGTAAAGTTGATCTAAAGTTTTGAGCGCAATAACAAAATATCGCACAACTTCACCTAGTATCTGGACCAATACAGCTTTGTTTTTTTTCTTTGGAGGGCTGGTACAAATCTTGGCCAATCACGGGTGACCCTAAAACCTAACTATGCCTCTGCACTAGATCTACACGAGGGAAGGGAAACTCCGGCTAGGAACCACTTCTGTGATGTGATATGTCAATTTGATATGTAAGATAAATCATAGAAGTTTAGTACACGCTGTCACTGTTTTTTTTACATGTCTTTCACTATGTTAAAATGCACTGCCAATGTTTTTACATACTCTGTCACTATGTTAAAATACCCTGCCACTGTTTTGACATGTCCTGTCATTCCTTGTGAAAGTTCTGGCAGTTTATTAAAAACTGTAACAATTTGTAAACATTTATCATCAGTAAGAATACAAATATAATTTCAGTTTCGATTTCGTACTTGTTTTTACAATTCCAATACAAAATGTTTTTGTTATATGGGTAAAACAACACACAACTTAAAAGTAATTTTTCTAACACGAGAACACAGGCAGAACCTTGACTAGATTCTCAAAGCTGAACTGTATTCTAACAAACATAAATTGCACATGAAATGGCCGCAACATATCGCAATATACCTGACAGGTGCAGGGATTGCAGGCTACTGCCCAATTGACCACAACCACATACCTGACAGCAGGGACGCCATTTGGATAGGGCAGGGGGGGGGGCTTGCTGGTCTTCCTCCCCCCTCCCCCTGAATTTGCAGATTTTATTTAAATTGCTATGTACTGTGGCGCCTCCAGTAATAAACAACTTAACCAGCTGACCTAGTTTTGATCCCCCCCCTCTTTTTTTTTTCTCAGAAAAAAACCCTGAAATGACGCCCTGCCTGACAGATTCAAGCCGCCACAAAAATGACCACAACTGCATACCTGACAGATGCAGGCTACAGCCAGAATGACCACTGATACGGCCACAACTTTCGTCCTCTGGGCGATGACGTAGGGAGTAAACGTCGCCATCTCTGTGAAGATCAAAATGAATCCGTCAATGACGTCAGTTGTCAGCTGTTCAGTGTTTTTGGGACTTATTCATTTTTTATTTTCCATTTCATATTTTATGTAGGTTGTCATTCAGTAAATGCTGTGTCATTATGTGTGTACTGAGTCATTTTTTCTGGTCCATGTCATATCTTGTATGTACCACCACTGCTTTGTTCTACCCCATATCATTGTTTTGAAGGACTAAGTCATTTTTTTTGGCCGGCCTGTATCGATTTTACTCTGTCATTTTGAGTCTTGTCATGCTTTTAAGACTATCACTTCTTGGTGAACTGTTTTACTTCAATTGTTTTAAAAACAAAAACAGTGGTTTACACGATATAATGCACCAACTCCTGCTGGAGAATACGTGTTGGTGTGTGCAAGTTTGTGTAAACAGCTTTGAGTAAATACTTGTTTTTGTATACAAGTTTGTGTAAACAGGTTTGTGTAAGTACGTGTTTGTGTGTACAAGTTTGTGTAACAGGTTTGTGTAAATACGTGTTTGTGTGTACAAGTTTGTGTAACAGGTTTGTGTAAATAAGTATTTGTGTGTACAAGTTTGTGTAAACAGGTTTGTGTAAAAACGTGTTTGTGTGTACAAGTTTGTGTAAACATGCTTTTGTAAATACGTATTTGTGCAAATGTGTGTTTGTGTAAATACGTATTTGTGTGTACAAGTTTTTGTAAACAGGTTTGTGTAAATACGTGTTTGTGCAAATGTGTGTTTGTGTAAATACGTATTTGTGTGTACAAGTTTGTGTAAACAGGTTGTGTAAATACGTGTTTGTGTGTACAAGTTTGTGTAAACATGCTTGTGTAAATACGTGTTTGTGCAAATGTGTGTTTGTGTAAATACGTATTTGTGTGTACAAGTTTGTGTAAACAGGTTTGTGTAAATACGTGTTTGTGCAAATGTATGCTTGTGTAAATACGTATTTGTGTGTACAAGTTTGTGTAAACAGATTTGTGTAAATACGTGTTTGTACAAATGTGTGTTTGTGTAAATACTTATTTGTGTGTACAAGTTTGTGTAAACAGGTTTGTGTAAATACGTGTTTGTTTGTACAAGTTTGTATAAACAGGTTTGTGTAAATTCGTGTTTGTGTATACAAGTTTGTGTAAACATGTTTGTGTAAATACGTGTTTGTGCAAATGTGTGTTTGTGTAAATAAGTATTTGTGTGTACAAGTTTGTGTAAACATGCTTGTGTAAATACGTGTTTGTGCAAATGTGTGTTTGTGTAAATACGTATTTGTGTGTACAAGTTTGTGTAAACAGGTTTGTGTAAATACGTGTTTGTGCAAATGTGTGTTTGTGTAAAAACGTGTTTGTGTGTACAAGTTTGTGTAAACATGTTTGTGTAAATACGTGTTTGTGCAAATGTGTGTTTGTGTAAATACGAATTTGTGTGTACAAGTTTGTGTAAACAGGTTTGTGTAAATACGTGTTTGTGCAAATGTGTGTTTGTGTAAATACTTATTTGTGTGTACAAGTTTGTGTAAACAGGTTTGTGTAAAAACGTGTTTGTGTGTACAAGTTTGTGTAAACATGTTTGTGTAAATACGTGTTAGTGCAAATGTGTGTTTGTGTAAATACGTATTTGTGTGTACAAGTTAGTGTAAACAGGTTTGTGTAAATACGTGTTTGTGCAAATGTGTGTTTGTGTAAATACGTATTTGTGTGTACAAGTTTGTGTAAACAGGTTTGTGTAAAAACGTGTTTGTGTGTACAAGTTTGTGTAAACATGTTTGTGTAAATACGTGTTTGTGCAAATGTGTGTTTGTGTAAATACGCATTTGTGTGTACAAGTTAGTGTAAACAGGTTTATGTAAATACGTGTTTGTGCAAATGTGTGTTTGTGTAAATACGTATTTGTGTGTATAAGTTTGTGTAAACAGGTTTGTGTAAAAACGTGTTTGTGTGTACAAGTTTGTGTAAACATGCTTGTGTAAATACGTGTTTGTGCAAATGTGTGTTTGTGTAAATACGTATTTGTGTGTACAAGTTAGTGTAAACAGGTTTGTGTAAATACGTGTTTGTGCAAATGTGTGTTTGTGTAAAAACGTGTTTGTGTGTACAAGTTTGTGTAAACATATTTGTGTAAATACGTGTTTGTGCAAATGTTTGTTTGTGTAAATACGTATTTGTGTGTACAAGTTTGTGTAAACAGGTTTGTGTAAATACGTTTTTGTGCAAATGTGTGTTTGTGTAATTACGTATTTGTGTTACAAGTTTGTGTAAACAGGTTTGTGTAAATACGTGTTTGTGTGTACAAGTTTGTGTAAACAAGTTTGTGTAAATTCGTGTTTGTGTGAAAAAGTTTATGAAAGTAAGCGTAAATCTGAGACTGATATTTTAAATTAGTAAAATGACAGAATGGATGTCAGCAAGGTGTCACAATTAATGAATTATTGACATTACATAACACCAGCGATGTATGTAATATAACATGATGCAAAGGATATCACGTATGTTAGCAGCATGTCACCATCTATATTTGTAGAATGTCAGTATATATGTTTGTAGCATGTCATCATCTATGTTTGTAGAATGTCAGTACATATGTTTGTAGCATGTCATCATCTATGTTTGTAGCATGTCAGTATATATGTTTGTAGCATGTCATCATCTATGTTTGTAGCATGTCATCATCTATGCTTGTAAATCCCTAATAATTCACGGTTTGTCAGTTATTGTCACTACTTTGACACACCTCGCCTGTAATACAGTTTTCGTGTTATGTAAGGTGACCAAGACCATTCGTACTCTTGAACGAAACCCTAACCCTAACCCGGTAAACAGGTTTTTGGACCTTTCCCCTGTCGTAAGATGACACCTGTACAGTTAAAGACTAGACATCTTTAAATGTTTTATCAAAAGATTGCGTTCACCTGATATCTAACCATGAAAAGAATGACGTAGCTAAAACAGATATAATTAATATAAATTGTTATCATGCTATTTGTTTTAATCAAAAGACCGCCCCCCCCCCCCCTCCTTTTTTCCCCCGCACGTGATTACACATTATTATTATTATTATTATTATTGACACCTGTTTCGGCAAGATGGACCAAAGAGCGTCTTCAGGGACGAGTTAGCCTCAAAGACAGATGAGCTCTTCCCGTAACCGCAGTCAAATTCTTTTTGTATAGACTCACATGGTAGAAAACAAAATGTCCTTTTTAAACAAAATAATTTTTTGTTAAAGTCCTGATTTTGAAAAAAAAAATGGTCACCATCAAATGTGAGCTTTTTAAATTTCCAATGAAAACAAATCAAACGCTAAGTCCTCAAAACACTGCAAACAAGATGACACGTTCAAGTCAGTCCTATGACACATTCAGTGTCATGTCATCCTCATATGAAACATTCCCTTTCACGTCCGTACCAGGTGTCCAGGCATTTCTCGCACTATGACGTAAACATCGTTTCTTACCGCGAGATTACCATCCGAGAATCCGGGCCAAGCAGTGAAGCCACAAATCCCAGGTCCATTCATTGGGATACCGATACACACCCTTAGCCACAGCCGCGTCCTCCTTAACTCCTCATCGGCAGAGTGATGACCTGACGCAGGTACGACTGAATTCGGACCTTAACAGAGATGCGATACTGGTAGGAAAGATAAAATGTTGACGAATCCGACTCTTTTATCTAGTCAGCGACTCCAAAACAAACCTCAGATTATGTGTGTCTCTTCGTGTAAACTTATGTTAAGTTTCACTCATTGATAATTTCTTGTTTCTCCCCCTAACCTTTAAATATTGAAAGGTGGAACGTGGAAGGCAGAGGTGAAGCTAGAGTATTTGGCATCCAGGGACAAGATTCATTTTTAGGCACCTCTCTTTCTTTTTCATCTCTCAAACCCATTATTTTCATAAATAACATAATATCAAAGCACATTTTGGCGCCCCTAACTAGTCTGGCGCCCAGGGACATCACCCCCCCCCCCACTTCGCTACGCTTCTGCGTGAAGGTGTATGGAGTTTTCTTAAATGTAATCGATACCGCAAAAATAAAAATGTCCCAATTGATGAAGAGTTATTTTGTGTGATGGGAAGGAAGGAGTTGTTGAAGAGGGGGTTATTTGGAGAAAAGTAACGATTGCTCTGACCCTATACTCAGTACTGACAAACGGCCTTAAGTAAAGATTGCTCTGACCCTATATTCAGTACTGACCAACGGCCTTAAATAACGATGGCTCTGACAAAGTACTTACTGCTGACCAATGGCCTTAAGTAACGATGGGTCTGACAAAGTACTCAATGCTGACCAGTGGCCTTAGGTGAGAGTAAGTCATCGTTGCACTGCGACGAAGTCTGCAGTGGCGTGACCCCAGGGGGGAGGGGGGCACTAATATGGACACACACAACAAAAGGTGTATCACTACCTGGACACTTGCTGCATAAGGAGTACTGGAGTAGGACATGAGCATCTGGACAATTGCTGCACGAGGAGCAGCCAAAATGTGCTTTTCATCAAAGTAAAATGGTCGCTTCTCTACCGGAAGCTGGGGAAGGATGTTGGCTAAAACCTTTTTGTTATGGTTCAGTTTGATTGTTTAGTGAAATCATGAAGTTTGGTAAAGTTTAGTCATTCGGTGAAATTTAGTCGTTTGGTGAAGTAATGAAGTTTGATGAATTATAGCCTTTTAGTGAAGTTTAGTCATTTAGTGAAGTATATTCGTTTGGTGAATTTTAGTCGTTTAGTAAAGTCATGCAGTTTGGTGAAGTTTAGTGCAGATTAGTTGTTTGGTGAAGTTTAGTAATTTAGTGAAGTTTATTCGTTTCGTGAAATAAAGTCGTTTGGGGAAATTTAGTCATTTATTAAAGTCATGATGTTTGATGAGGTTTAGTCATTTGATGAAGTTTAGTCATTTGATGAGGTTTAGTCATTTGATGAGGTTTAGTCATTTAGTAAAGTTCAGTCTGGTGACGTTTAGTCGTTAATTGAATTTTAGTCATTTGGTGAAGTTTAGCCGTTTGTTGAAGTTAAGTTATTTAGTTAAGTTAAGTTGTTTAGTGAAGTCTAGTGACTTAGTCAATTTTAGTCTTTTGCAGTTAAGTGAAATTTAGTCATTTTGTGAAATAATTTAGTTTGGTGAAGTTTAGTCGTTTGGTAAAGTAATGAAGCTTGGTTGAGGTTTAGTCATTGGTGAAGTTTAGTGATTTAGTGAAGTTCAGTCGCTTAGTCAAGTTAAGTCGTTTCCCTATGTATTGATTTTTAAAAAAACGACTTATTTCGTTAATATTTTTGTATAAATATAGTAAAAGTATTGATCGATTTTATTTTTATTTGATTTCATTTGTAAAAGAAAAAAATAGATTTTTATTTTTTAAAACGAAACAGCCAAACGAGAAATTGGGTCATGTTTGCTGCCAACATTTCATGATTTAAAAAAAAAAAATCATGTTATTCATGACACTGGTGTTAACACGAGAACTCATGTTTTTTGTTGTTGTTTTTTTTAAAATGTTATTTGTCTCTATTATAACACTCCTAAAGTTACTTTTTGTTGAAACTAATAATATGAAGGAAAAAAAAGACGATTTTAATAACTTACGGGCACAACCCCAGCCCCTTTTCCCCCTTCTTTCTGCCCCCTTCCTCAATTTAATTTTTTTAAAATTGTGATTACGCCACTGTAGATATTTTGGCGAGTTTTGTAAAGCACATCCATCAATCAATCCACTAGGATGGGCGGGGCAACTTTGAGCAATGCAACCAACCAATCATCGTCAATGTTTTATTTATGTCGTCACTCGACCAGATGCACAACACAGGTGTAAGACACAAGAGGTAAAACACAGGTGTAAAACACGGGTGTGAACACGGGCGTAAGACACGGGTCTAGGACACAAGGGTAAAACACGAGCTGGGGGGCGGGGTAAAATGCAGATGAGCGAGACCTGCACGCTGTGTACCGGAATCGCAAATCAACGATAAGATTCCGCTCAACTTTGAGTTGAAATTATGTTAGAATAAGGTCAAGGTTGAAGTTAGGTTGATCTGAAATGTGCGTGCATAATCCTGTTTGACATGGGCGCTTGATTCTGAGAAGTGCCACCACTGGTACTCATTAGAGTATCTAAAGTTTGTGACGCCCGGGGGGGGGGGTACTAATTTTTTTTTTTTTCCGTCCTTAATGAAAGAAAACCAGAAGGCATACAGAATACACAATAAAAATAAATTATAAGTAGGCCAATTTGAAATTGACCCCCCCCCCC